TTACTGTTTCGAATTCCTCAACAATGATCCATCTGCTCAGGTGTTCCTTATTTCTTGGTTCAGCCTTGGGAGGTCATAGTAGTACAAGAATTTATCCACTTTTTCCTAGGTTCTCACATTTTGTGCCATAAAGATTTTTTGAAGTCATCTCTGATGGTCCTCTGAATTTCTGTGATATTTGTTGTTATGTCCCCTCTTTCATTTCTGATTTGGTTAGAGTCTCTCTCTCACTCTCTCTCTCTCTCTCTCTCACACACACACACACATCAATCTTGTTTTTGTTCAAAGAATCAGCTCTTGGTTTAATCAATCCTTTGGATTTTTTTTCTAATTTATTAATGTTTGCTCTATTTTATTATTTTTATTATTTTATTATTTCCTTTCTCCCGCCTGCTTTGGGCTTCTTTTGCTTTTTTCCAGTTTCTTTTTGTTTTTTTTTTTTTGTTTTTTGTTTTTACATAACACTGTGATTTACCAAGTTGTTCATAATTGCAGTTGTTTCGGGCCTTAACTGCTTCAACGTCAGTCCCACCACCAGCGTGCTCGTCCCTTCTGCTGTAATCCAACAGTCAGCTTTGATGTGATCCAACTGGGCTGAGTGTACTATGAAGTTGGACTTGTGAGGACCAGGAGCTATAGAGCTGGAATAGTTCAGTAGCTTGGAGTTTGATGAGGTTCGGTTGTGGAGCTGGGCCCTTTCTGTGTCAGAGAGTGTCATGTTCTTTTCTCTTTTTTTGGTCTTTTTGGCTACACCTGGTGATGCTCAGGGCTTACTCCTGGGTCTGCCTTCACGAATCACTCCTAGCGGTGCTCAGGGACCATATGGGATGCCTGGGATTGAACACAAGTCGGTCGCATGCAAGGCAAATGCCCTATCCGCTGTATTATCGCTCTGACTCCCTCATGTTCTTTTGAAGATGTAATGCTGGACCGTTTCTCTACTGGCAAGATGGCAAGTGTGGGTGGGGGCTGCTGGTTTTTTTTGTAGTGGGGATGGGGGGCTCTGTTAGATTTATTTGCCTCAACCCCATTCCGAGACTACCCCAGAGTTTTCAACCTATAGATCGGTCCCTCCTGGGAAGATCCAGCTGCTTGTCATTCTTCTTGAAGTTATGTGAGGCTGGGCCATTTCTGTCAGGTGCAGGCTGCTGTGCCTTCAGGCAGAAAAGTGACTCTGTCCGCCCCTAACCTGAGAGGGCCCTAGAGTGGAAGATTTGGCAGTACCATATTCTTAATCTTATTCTTTTTTTGTTTGTTTGTTTGTTTTTTTTTTGCCTTTTTTTGGGGGGGGGGGGTTATACCTTGCAATGCTCAAGGGTTACTCCTGGTGGTGTACTCCTGGGACCAGATGGGATGCTGGGGATCTGACCCAGGTCAACCTCATGCACGGCTAACTGCCGTACCTGCTGTACTATTGCTCTGGCCCCTGTATCAGATAGTCTTTTGGAGATTTGATACCGGGCTGTTTCTCTGCAGCTATTTTCCAGTTTTTTAAACTGTGTAGTTAGGTTATTTATGTGGGCTCTTCCTTCCTTCCTGATGAAAACTTTCATAGCTATAAACTTTCCTCTTAACACTGCTTTTTCCACAAGTTTTGATAGTGCATGTCTTCATTCTCATTTGTTTCCAGGAAATCTTTTGATTTCCTCTCTGACCCACTGGTTGTTGAGTAGTGAGTTGCTTAATTTCCAGGTGTTTCAGTTACTTCTCCACTTCTATTTGTGATTAACTTTTATTTTCAATGCATCATGGACTGAAAAGATAGTTGTTGGGATTTCTATCCTCTTGACTTTATGGAAATATGTTTTATGTCCCAGCTTGTGGTCTGTCTTGGAGAATGTCTCATTGTGTTAGAATAGAATGTGTATTCAGATTTTGGGGGATGAAAAGCCATATAAACCCCTCTTTTCCTTCAAAGCTAATATTTCCTTGCGAGTTTGTCTAGTTGATCAATTGAGAGGTGACAGAGTGGTGAGGAAATCTCCAATCATTGTGTTGCTATCAGTGTCTTCCTTCAAGACTAGTAGCAGTTTTGGGTGGTGGTTTTTTTTTTTTTTTTTTTTTTTTTTTTTGCCTTTTTTGGTCACACCTGGCGATGCACAGGGGTTCCTCCTGGCTCTGCACTCAGGAGTTACTCCTGGCGGTGCTCAGGGGACCATATGGGACGCTGGGAATCAAACCCGGGTTGGCCGCGCGCAAGGCAAACGCCCTACCTGCTGTGCTGTCGCTCCAGCCCCTGTTTTTTAAATTTTTCTGGTCCCTTGCCCATGTTTAGGAATGTGAGTTCTTCCTGATGTATATATGAACATTAAGAAATGACCCTCTCTGTCTCACACCCTCACACACCTTTTTTCTTTTTTTTTTTTTTTTTGGATTTTGCACCAACCTGGCAATGCTCAGGGGTTACTCCAGGCTCTGCACTCAGAAATTACTCTGGGCTCTGCGCTCAGAAATGCACTCAGGAATTACTCCTGTGGTGCTCTGGAGACCAAAGGGGATGCCAGGGATCGAACTCGAGTTGACTACATTCAAAACAAGCACTCGACCTGCTGTAGTATTGCTCTAGTTTCTTTCTTATGACTTTTATAAGCCTGAAGTTAATGTTGTCTGATACAAGTATGGCCACCCCAGACTTTTTGTGGGGATTATTTGCTTGAAATATTGTTTTCCAACTTTTGACTTTGAGTGTGTATTTGCCTATACTGTTCAAATGTGCTTCTAATAGGTAGCAGAAGAGTGGATTCAATTTTCTAGTCCATCCTGCCAAACTGTGTATTTAGGCCATTGATATTGAGTGAAATTATTATGGAGTTTCGTGCCATTTTTCTGTAGAAGTTGGTGCATTTGTGATTCATCATGTCTTAAAGTAGCCCCTACAGCTCTTCTCGTAAAGTTGGTTTTAAGTCTATGAAGCTCCTGGTCTGCTGTTTTATTCATGAAGTTGTGTATCATTTCCTCAAATCTGAAGAAAAGTCTAGCTGGGTAAAGTATTCTTGGTGAGGCACTCACTTAATTGAAGGGTGGTTTTGTTTGTTTGTTTGTTTGTTTTGCTATATCTTTGGGCCTCAGAAAATCATTTGATAAATCTATAAATCTTTAAGGATGCTCTTTTGAATGTGCTTTCTTTGGTGATCTTGTTGCTTTCAGTATTCTGTCTCTCTCATCATTCTGAATAGGATGTGTCTTGGGCTCTTTTATTCGCATCTTCTTTAGCTAGTACCCTTCAGGCCTTTGCATCTGGGTGCATGCGCCATTCGGCTCAGGAAACTTCTTGCTGATAATTCTTTGACTGTTGCTTCTTCATGAGAGTTGCCTTCACTGGGCTCTGGACCCTGGTGATTCTTGTGGTGTCCCTCTTGAATTCATTCCAAAATTCTCTTCCCTACTGTTCGTTTATTTTTAGACTTTTTCCCATCTTCTGCTGTTGTCTGGAAGTTTCTACAGCTGGAACTCACTAATTTTTTTCCTCAGCTACTCTTTGTTATTCTGTCTTCCAGTGAGTTTTTCATTTCACCACTCAGCCTCTTTATCTCCATCATTTCTGCTTGTAGTTTTTTCATTTCAACTTTCATATCTTCTTGTGTTTTAATGACTGTCTGTTCCATTGTTTCTTTGAGCTCCGTAACCATCCTCAACATTTTCTCCCTGAATCTTTGTCAGAGAGGTTCTGTAATTGGTTGGGTCTTTAGTGCTACATCTTCCTTCAGGAGGCCTGGTGGGGTCTCATTCTTCTTTCCCGCTGTGACTTGGCAGTCTTGAGGCTGGCCATTTCAGTTCACCTTTCACGTTCCCCCCACTGCCTGGGAGGTCTGAGGGAACCAGGTATGTGTTGCTCTCTTTCCTCCCTGTCGGAGCTGTCTTCATCAGATGATTGTTACACACGAGTTTCAATTTTCCTGTTCTGGTCCCAAGAAGTCTTTCACAGTTTCTTTTGCCCTGCCACTATTCTAGCTATAATCTAATTCTTATTTCCACAACTAGTTTTGTGTGTTGTTGTGTGGCTAGGTGACCACAGTTAGGATGCCAGTGTACGATCTCTGTGAGATATGAAAGAGTGCAGTCTTGTGGCAGTTCTAACCTTTGGGGGAGAATGGTAGATGTTGGCACAGATTTCTACATAATGTTGAGTTCTGGACTGGAGATAGGCGGGCTGATTTTGTTTCCTAGCTTAAGTACATGGGCCTAAATATATTGCTTAAAATATTATTTATGCCTTAAGTGATATTTCATAACTGAAAAATGAATATTCACATAGTTTTAAGATAGTTTTACTCATTTGTTTGCTATCATGCTTCTTTGAGTGGAGGTTTAATAGAGGGAAGTTTTTGTGGGAGGTGTTATGTATTATGTATTTTATTTTATTTTATTTTTTGCTTTTTGGGTCACACCTGGTGATGCACAGGGGTTACTCCTGGCTCTGCACTCAGGAATTACCACTGGCGATGCTCAGGGGACCATATGGGATGCTGGGAATCGAACCCGGGTCAACCGTGTGCAAGGCAAGGGCCCTACCCGCTGTGCTGTTGCTCCAGCCCCTGTATTGTGTATTTTAACATCTGCCTCAAAGATGTGAAATTCTTTGAGAACCATTGCTGTAAGCGCTTGTCTTGGGAGGTAGGTATACCTGTAAGCAGGGAACTGACATAATACAGGCACTCTGCTAGAAGGGGCAATTTTGAGAAAAATAAAAGCCATGAAAGATTTATGAGGTGCTTGTTATTTTTTTTAGCTTGGTCTTTAGATTCTACATGTGAGAAGTAGGTAGAGCAGTCCAAATTATTCATGAAGGAAAAGGAAGTACAAAGGCACGGAGGCCCAAAAGTCCATCGAGAGTTGAGTAATTAACTCAGTTACACTGGGAGCCATGCAGTGGTGTTTGCACTGTGGACACTGAGGTTTTCTCATTTAAGTGAAGAAGGTTGGTTTAAGTATTTTATGCAAGGCACTGTACACATGGTTACGTGAAAGCGATTCTTATGTTCTTTTCCCTCCTCTTCCAGGCTGCTATATGGCAAGCACTAAATCACTATGCTTACCGAGATGCTGTTTTCCTCGCCGAACGACTGTATGCAGAAGGTTGGTATTCTGTTAACTCCTATAGAATCATAAATAAATAAAATACATAGATTTCATCATTACTGCAAAAAGGTTCTGGGTTTCACTTTTTATTTATTACTGGCAGTAGTTCATAAAAACTTAACACTGCAAATGTGTAGCTCCCATATATGACTTTTTATAGTTGTAGTTGCTTCAGGTGTTCCCTTCTTCACGTTTTCCATTTGAACAGAGTACCAGTGTTCTTCAACCACCAGGGATTGGTGCCAGTCTGAGTGTAGATGTGTTGAAAACCACTCAACTGTGCCTTGGTTATAATTGCTACTCGAGTTGCAGGGCATGGACCTGTCCCTGGGTGCGAAATGGTTTAAGAACACTTGCGGCTCAGAGCATCACTTTAGAATCGTTACAAACCCTAAACCTGTCCCTCAAATAATACAGTTGCAAGGAAGATATTTGCAGTCTGAGTATTACGTATTTCTCATTTGTGAAATAAAGATATTGCCAATTAAACTGGATGATGTAAAATTCCCTAATATGTTTCTACAGACACTTATTTACAATTTTTTATTTTGAGTCATTTCTTTGGGTGGTATACCCTGAAATGGAGTTTGTAAGTTAAGGGTGTGATCAGTTGTACAATAAATTTTCTCCCACCTACTTGATGACCTAACAGAGAAGTATAATGATATGGAATATCTCATAATGGGAAACATCCTTTATTTATTGATTGATTGATTTAGGTTTTTTTGGTCATACCTGTTGATGCTCAGGGTCATTCCTGGCTCTGCACTCAGGAATTGTTCCTGGCAGTGCTCAGGGGACCATATGGAATGCCGGGGATCGAACTTAGGAAGGTTGCATGCAAGGCAAACGCCCTTCCTGCTGTACTATCACTCCTGCCCCAAAGGGAGATAGCCTTTATAATCCTGTTGATAATCACTGGGCCATTTTGATGTGTTTTTGCTTATGTGAGCTATTTTTGTCCTACATTTATTTTAACTAAGAAATACTGTTTATTTTCTCAGATGTGTCTTAATTTTTTTAATTTTTGTTTCAAAATTGTTATTTTAATTTTTTTTTAAACACCATGGCTTGCAAAGTTGTTCATACAGTTATTATGGGCATTTGGTGTTCCAGCCCAAATCCCACCACCAGAATGACCTATACCTTTACTCCCATCAAATGTTTCTTTTAAATTGTTCCTATTCCTATGAGCCAGGTCTTTATTTATTGCATGTTTGTCCCATAGTGTTGCTTTTTATTAAAGCATTTATCAGTTTATTCAATAATATTTATTAAGTAACATTTTCTCCCAAATGGTACTTTACTGGGTTTTATGTTAAATTTTTCATTAAGTTTAGCTTTATAAATTACTTTAGTGAGTATTGATATTTCTATCTCTATGCTAGCCTTTCCGACCAGAAATAGTGTTGTCTTCTCTGTTTTGTTCTGGGCCATAATGAGCTGTGCTCAGGGCTTACTCCTGGCTCTCTGCCCAGAGGACACTCTTGGTGGACATAGGGAGCCAAATGGGGTACTGGGGATCAAAATGCTTGAGTCAGCCACATGTATGGCAAGTTGCCTGTCTCTTTTTGTTAGTTTGTTTTGGCTTTTTGGGTCACACCCGGTGATGCTCGGGGCTCACCCATGACTCTGCACTCAGGAGTTATTCCTGGCAGTGCTCAGGGGACCATATGGGATGCCAGGGATCGAACCCGGAGCAGTCACATGCAAGGCAAATGCCCTCCCCACTATGCTATTATCTCTTTGACTCCATTGTCGTCTTCTTTTTACTCAAGTGTTTGTTTAATTTAATTTTTCTACTTTTTGGGTAAGCCTGTAATCCTGTATTAGACTACTTGCCAAGGATTTTAAATTCGTAAAATCATGATTGCACATGAGCTTTTATTTTGTGTATTTTGCGTGTTTCTGCATGAATTAATTGCATGATCTTTTTGCCAAATTATATATTTTCTTCCTAGTATTTCTAGTATTACATGATTTTTTTTGTAGTATTAAGTAACCTGGTTGCAAACATAAGAAGGTACATATTAGGAGTTTGTCAGCGTATGTTGCAAGTGAACAGGGGATAAGAACATCAAAAGTGTAGATAAGAATATAAACTTTGCACAAAGTTAACACAGAATTGTTAAAGAAACATTTAGAGATACCAAAAAAATTTTGTGAAGTTGAGTTAGGAGCTATACGGAAGAAGACCACTATAAATAATCAGGTAAAGAATTCTTTCGTTAATAAAGCACACTCCCCCCTACACACACACACACACACACACTCACACACACACACACACATACACACACACACACATACACTGAACACACTGAAGTTGTTTGTATAAATAAATGTTCAACAGAAATGACTCAAGAATGGAATGAAACACATGAGAAGTATAACACTCATGCAGTTGATAAATCAGCAAAACAATTTAGTGATGGAATGGAATTACTTGAGCTTGTGGCTCAGTATCAGGAATGTTTACTTAACATTAACATTAGATGATTATTCAGGTATTGTAAAGTTAGCATATAATGCCCATGCTGTCTATTGGACATCGCCCTAAATAGCCTATGTCATTTAATCTGAACAGCAGTGCTTAGAGAAAGATATTATTTTTTTCTTCTTCTTTCTTTCTTTCTTTCTTTCTTTCTTTCTTTTTTTAGGCTTTTTGGGTCACACCCAGTGATGTGTGTGCACTCAGGAATTACTCTAGCCCCTATGTTCTTCTTTTACAGTTGAAAAAAGCTGAGGGTAAGAAATTAACTTGTGGGGCTGTTGAAACAATACAGTGGTTGAGGCATTTACCTTGCACGTGGCCAACCCAGGTTTGATCCCTGGTATCCCATATGGTCCCTCAAGCACTGCCAGGAGTAATTCCTGAGTGCAGAGTAAGCAGTAACCCCTGAGCATCACTAGATGTGGTTCAAAAACCTAAGAAAAAAGAAAAATTAACTTGTCTAAATTATCTTGCTTATAAAATGATGGTGCTGGAATGTAAACCCATTTAATTAGACTGTTGGGTCAGTTTTCTCATTCGTTTACTCTATTACCTATAGCAATATCAACTTAAAATTCATAAAACCTGTTGTAAAAATGCTTTTATCTCTTAGATAATAAAGATGAAATATGTATCATAGTCATAGGTGATTCTTTGTGTCCTTTGGTGATGTACAACAATAGCGCTTATGCTAGGACAATCGGCAGAGTACTCTAACCTCCAAGGAGGTCTCTGATACTTGTGACTGATCAGGCTAACTAAGAGAACACTCATCCCAACAAACAGTAATCTTGCCAAAACTGGCTCATTTTGGAAAAGGCTGCTCATTTAGATCATAAGCATGAGAAAAAGATATATCTCTTGTTTAAAAATGCTGAGGACTAATTCAGCATCCTAATCTTCTTACTTATTTTGGACCTACCAGTTGTCAAATGACTTTTCAACTTTTGAAGCCTTATCTAAATAGAAGGACACACTTCTGAGAAGTGGAGCGTCAGCATTTTTCTGCAAGTGTGTTTTTTACAAACAGGCCTAAGAAATAGTACAGGGGTTTAAGGCTCTTGCCTTGCATTCGGTCAACCCCAGTTGGATCCTTGATACCACATTTGTTCTCTTGAGCCACTCCAGGAGTAAACCCTGAGCACTGTTAGGGTTGACCCCACACCAAACAAAAATTTTTTTAGTATGTTTTTTTTGTTTGTTTTGTTTTGTTTTGTTTTTCACTAACTAAAATTTAACTAAAATTGTTTTTCACTAACAATTTTTTTTTCACTAGGAAATATTTTGATGCCAGGTTTCTTGACAGTTCACCAGCATTTGGATTATATCTTAATTTAACTAGCACAAGATTGATTTCTTAAGATTAATATGGCTTCTTGGTTTTTTTGTTTGGAGCCGCACCCAACTATGTCTAGTGCTTATTCCTGTTGAGGGATCATTCCTGATGCTCCTGGGGGACCATATGTAGTCCCATGCGTACTCAGTCAAGGCAAGCATCTTATCCACAGAGCAGTCTTTTTAATTTTGTTTTGTTTTTAAAGCTTAAATACAAAATCACTTTAGCACCCCAAAAAGTTAAGAGCCTTTCAAAATATCTTGGCAAACTACCTTACTTCTTCACCTGTCTGTTAATAAGACCATAATTTCCTGTCAGACCTATTATTATTATTACTACTAATGCTACTGTTATTATTTTGGTTTTAGGAACCACACCACGCAGTGCTCAGGGCTTACTCTTGGGTCTTTGCTCAGGGTTCTTTTTTTTTTCTTTCTTTCTTTTTGGATCACATCCAGTCATGCTCAGGGATTCCTCCTGGCTCTGCACTCAGGAATTACTCCTTGCAGTGCTTGGGGGACCATATGGGATGCCTGGGGTCAAACGCGGGTCGGCCACATGCAAGGCAAATGCCCTGCCCACTGTACTGTTGCTCCAGTTCAAGGTTCATTTTTGGCAGTGCTCAGGAGACCATATATGGTGCTGGGGGTTGAACCGAGGTCTGCTACGTACAAGGCAAACTCCCTACCTGCTGTACTATCGCTTTGGCACTTCCGCTGTGCCAACATGGTTCTGATTTAAGAGAGATGGCACATCCTGTGAAAAACATTTAAGATCTACTTTGACTTATTAAGTTAATGTTCATTTTATGATTATGGACCTTGTAATTCCCAGCCACGTGTTTTAATTAAGGCTCTAAGTAAAGCATGGTAAAAAAAGTGCCACGCAAGGCATCTTTGAACTGTTTCCATATTGTGTTATTTCAGTCTCTGCATAGTTAGTAGGTGAAGAGTTATGGCCTGTCTCAGAATTGTCCGAAGTTTACACTGGAGGCAGCCACTATCAGTGGACGTTTCATTGTTCCAAATGAAATCTATTAATCTTATCCAATAAGCTTACTCTGTGCTTTTTAGATTTACCATAGCCACTAACTTCTAGTTCAGTAGTTGGATTTAGAGCTGTTGAGTTATTTCTCAGAGGCCTCAGAAAGTTTCCGTCTCTTTGTATTTCATGCCCCATCATTCTGTTTTAGATTTTTTTATATAGTTTTATTAAAATTAAACTTTGACTAAACCACCAGTCTATCATTTGCTTTGCACATACTGACCCTGATTCCATCTCTGGCACTGCTTGTGTTCCCCCTCCCCATCCCTTCCCCCCTCCCCGGAAGTTATCCCTGAGCACACAGCCAGGAGTAAGCCCTGAGTATCGCCAGGTATTTCCCAACCCACCCACCCCAGGATTCTCAATTTGGTAGTCTATTTAAACGTCAGCTTATGTTTGTTTTTTTAAGCAATTACGTGATCGTTTTCATTTTGTTTCCTCGTAGGAAAATGTAATCAGGGCTTGAGATACTGATTTTTCTATCAGTTAAGTATATAATTTAATTTGAATTAATACATTCTTGTTTTATGAATGTATAACAAGCTATACAAGCTATTTTTTGGTTGGTAAACTTGTTTGTTGACAAATTACCGTTCAGTCTACTAAATCACAGTATCTTTTTTTTTTTCATACATGTTCTTAGTACACTCAGAAGAAGCCTTGTTTTTGCTGGCAACCTGCTATTACCGCTCAGGAAAGGCATATAAAGCATATAGACTCTTGAAAGGACACAGCTGTACTACACCTCAATGTAAATACCTGCTTGCAAAATGTTGTGTTGATCTCAGCAAGTAAGTCTTTCATTTGTTTCTAGCTGATTTTATTCTATTTACACTGTAGAAATTTAATTATTTTGGTGGATTGAATTGTCATTGTCTCCCTTTCTCTCCTCTATTTAAAAATTTAGTAGAGAGATTCATCTATTTCAGTAACATTTTAAAGGTCTGAACATTTAAAGGTGCTGCACTTAATGGTATTATTTTTGTAATGGAGAAATTTTGTTGTGCTAATAATGTTATTTATTAACCTATTCTTATTGATATGTTATCTGAAGAAACTTGTTATAATTCCTCTTTTTTTTTTTTTTTTGAGTCACACCCGGCAATACACAGGGGTTACTCCTGACTTTGCACTCAGGAATTACTCCTGGCAATGCTCAGGGAACCATATGGGATGCTGGGAATCCAACCTGGGTCAGCCGTGTGCAAGGCGAACGTCCTACCTGCTGTACTATCGCACCAGCCCCAATAATCCCTCTTTCTAAAGTAATTTTTGTTTCTTTTTCTTTTTTGTCAATTGAAATGAACCAAAAAACCTATTTACAGTTCACTTGAGTTAATGCTCCATTATGTCTAAGTAGTTGTGTAATGATCTTTAAAGATCGTGCTGTTTGGGAGCTCTCTCTAGACCTTTGAAGCAAGGTCAAATGCAGGAGAGCACTATTTTTGCACAGCATCTTTAAGCAAGTCCGTTGTCCCTCTGAATCTGGAGGCAGCAAGAAATATACAGATAGTTATGTTCTGTAAACTGTTCTGTGCACTGTAAGAGGTGAACTAGTAGTAAAGGTGACTAGACATGATTATGAAATCCAGTACATGGATCTCCTTTGCATACTTAACAAGTGAGAAGATACAGATACCCCTCAAAGTCTATAAAACAGTAAATGTTTGTTTTGTTTATTTAACTGATGACTCTTAACTAATTAATTTTATTAATATAATGATAACTAAAATCCCTGTAAGTTACTGAGACAGTGTTACTGATTAATTTCATTCCAAATATTCTGGTGACTTTTTTAGGGTCTTTCTTAATTTGCATGTCACTTGGGGTTTCACCCCGTGTTGCTCCTGGCAGTGTTCCCACATGCACTACTCTTGAGCTCTGTCTCATCCTAAGACCTCTGTCTCATCCTAAGACCTTTTTTGTTTTGAGATCCCGGCAAGCTACCGAGAGTATCTGGCCTGCACAGCAAAGCCTGGCAAGCTACCTGTGAGGTATTTGATATGCCAAACACTGTAACAACAAGTCTTACAATGTTACTGGGCCCACTCAAGCAAATCAATGAACAATGGGAGAACAGTGCTACAGTGCTTGTTTTGAGGCCACACTGAGCAGTGCCATGTATTACTGTTATTCTCTGCGCTCAGAGATCGCTTTTGGCAAGGCTCGGGGAATCCTATGTGGTACTGGGGATTGAACCCTCATTGCATGCAAGGCTAGTGCCTTATCCTCTGTCTCTCTGGACCTGGGTGGGGGTTGGTTTTTTGGGGTTTTTTTGGGGGGGGGGGGGTTGGAGGGGACAGGTTTCCAAACACTGCTGTGGGGGAGTCAAGGGGCACTTCTGGCAATACTTGTCTAATTGGGCCTGATTATTCAGTGCTCAGCCCAAACCCCCCACCCCCAGCACAACCAGGTGTGACGGAAAACAGAAAATACAAAAAAGGAAACCTGAAGTGCTCTTCAGGTTTTGGTTTTAGTTTTTGGTTTCTTTTAGTCACTGTGAAATTACAAAATTACTCATGATCAGGTTTCAGGCATGCAGTGTTTCAACACTGATCCCACACCAGTGTCAAATCCCTTCACCAGTGTCCACTTCCCTCCACCAGCTTTTCATTTATAAACTAAAAAATGTCTGAGCTATTAAGTATGCAGTTTTTAATTAAAATGTTCATCTCTTTTAATGTGCTTGCAAATTTCTATTTCAAGAAATTATAGAACTGAAAAGGCCCAGTGTATGTGTTAATGAAAGAACATTAATATATTTTTCCCCAGTGTGGTGGTTTTCTTCCATTTGTTTTGACATGTCTTGCTTTGACTAGATTTAAGCATAATCAAATTTGAATATTTCTAGCTTTTTTGATATGTGCTTTCTTTTTTTTTTTCCTTTGGTGGTGGGGGGGGGCCTCCCAGGCAATGCCCAGAGGCCAGGGGAACCCACTGTCATACTCAGCATCTGGTCTAGCCTTTCATTGCAAGAGTGCAAGAATGCGAGGCTGCTCAGGTTCTGTGATTCTGGGGTTCCCTGGCCGTTCTGCAGTGCTGGGGCCTCCAGAGCAACACTCAGCAATCCCCAGGAAACGTGTGGTGCCTGATCAGGTGTGTGCTCAGCACGCGCCCCAACTGCTCACCAGTCTCCCGGCACCCTAATGGCTCTGCCTTTAAAGGCAAACTAGAATTTTATGTTTCCCAGCTTTCCAGATGATTCTAAGTATCTATTTGCCACTATTCTGAAGGTACCATGTTTTTACTTTTAGTCTCCGTTATAAAAAGTATAGTGTGAGGCCAGAGTGATAGTGCAGCAGGGAGTATGTTTGCCTTACACGCGGCCAACCTGTGATCAATTCCCGGCGTCCCGTATGGTCCCCTCGCACTACCAGGAGTAACTCCTGAGAGCAGAGGAACCCCTGAGCATCGCCGGGTGGGACCCAAAAAGCAAAATAAGTTTAATAAAATAAAATTAATTAAAAATACAATGGTAATGATTGAATGCAGTGATTTTCACATTGACTCTTTGTCTGTGTGCTTCTTTTAAAGACTTGCAGAAGGGGAACAGATCTTATCTGGTGGAGTGTTTAATAAGCAGAAAAGCTATGATGATATTGTTACTGAGTTTGGTGATTCAGCTTGCTTTACTCTTTCATTGTTGGGACATGTGTATTGGTAAGTAAGAATGATTTGAGTTACAAGAAAATTTCAGTATCTGTGTTTTGTGTTGATCTGTGTTTACTAAAATACCACTTGACTGAGTAGTATACAGTCTTATTTCCATGGTGTCCTTAAACTTGTAAACGGTATTTTTTAGTCCCCCTTTGTTGATGGGGATGGGCCTGCACCAGGGTCTTTTTGGTCATACCAGTTTTTGGGTGCTGCTCCTGGCTCTGTGCTCCCCAAATGTCATACCAGGAGTAGAATCCAGGCCACCAGCATACAAAGCATGCATTCAGCCCTTTGAGCTGTCTCTCTGGCCCTTGGATCCCGTTTTTGTTTTTTTTCCTTTGGGGGGAAGGGGATGCATGGACGTGGATGGGCTACTTCCAGCAATGTTCAGGGCTTATTCCTGGCTCTGTGCTCACAGATTACTCCTGGTGTGGCTCAAGGAACCATATTTATTCCAGTTCTGGGGATTGATACTGGGTCAGCCGCGTGCAAGGCAGTCCATCACCTTATCACTATACTTTCTCTTTGGGCCCCCCTTGATCGTATTTTGAATGCTTACTTAGCCTTACCAATAATAGGTAGAATAGCATTTCCTCGGAATTTAATGTACATGTTGGTTTTTAAGAAACATATCTTCACATTATGTACCTAAGAAAAGTGTGAAGTTTTTCTCTAATATTAAATATTACTGCTACCTCTTAGAAACTTGAAAGCAAGTTAGAAAAAATAGCATTATCATAATGATTTTTAAATGTTTTACAAGTTCCTAAAATGGTAGTTAAAATAATAGTGATTTTGCCCTTCCCCAAAAGGTGGCTTTTTGAAAAAAATCTATGTATTTTAAAGTCATTCGAATATGAGTGAATTCAAAGTTGAAACTCCAGTATTATTAATGTTTTGTTTTGGGTTTGGGGGCCACACCTGACGTGCTCTTGATCTGTTCCCTGCTGCACATCCTGCCTCCTATATTATTGCTCTGGCTTGCCCACATTGATTTTAGGTGGGTGGTAGGAGAGATATAATAGGGTAGCAGGAGTTATTCTAAATTGCTGAGATTAGTGTATCAGCTATATAAATGTCATCTGTTGTTTATCTTTGGAGAAATTGTTGATTATTGCTGACCTAAAAAATTAGCATGGGGCTGGAGCAGTAGCACAGCGGGTAGGGTGTTTGCCTTGCATGCAGCTAACCCGGGTTCAATTCCCAGCATCCCATATGGTCCCCTGAGTACCGCCAGGGGTGATTCCTGAGTGCAGGCCAGGAGTAACCCCTGTGCATCGCCAGGTGTGACCCAAAAAGCAAAATAATAATAATAATAATAATAATAGCATAATTGGGGCTGAAGCAATAGCACAGTGAGTAGGCATTTGCCTTGCACGCAGCCGACCTGGGTTTGATTCCCAGCATCCCATATGGTCCCCCAAGCACCGCCAGGAGTAATTCCTGAGTGCATGAGCCAGGAGTAACCCCTGAGCATCATCAGGTGTGACCCAAAAAACAACAACAAAAAAAAACTTAGCATAATTGAGCCAGAGAGATAGCCCAAGTGAGTAGGGCACTTGCTATGCTCATAACCAACCCAGGTTCGATCCCCAGTGTTGCATATGATCTGTCCCCTGAGCACCACCAGGAGTGATTTCCTCAACACAGAACCAGGAGTTTCTGGTTCTGATCATCACCAAGTGGGCCACTCCCAGTGAAACTGGGCCAAACTGGTCCATGCTAGGATCTTGTAGTGCTAGGAGCCGTCAGTGGTGCTAGGAGCATTTGGAATTATGCCTAACGGTGCTCAGATCCATGCAGTTCCAGGGATACTCCTGTGCCAGCTCATTGTTCCCACCACTAGATTCTTCTAGATTATTAACTAAAATGAAGTATCTTGCATAAAAATTACACTTCAGTAACTTGAGCATTGTATAACTGAAACCCAAACTTGAAAGTTTATAAGTCTACAACTGTACCTGATGGTGTCTCACTAATAAAAATAAATAAATAAATGAAACCACAATCAGAAACAGGAGACACATTAAAAAAAAAAAAAGAATTGGTTAGATGAGGAATGTGGCTTAGTGGAAGAACACCTGCCTTGAATGTGTGAGGTCCTGGGTTTGACCTTTTCGTTATAGAAACCAAAAAATCAGAATTGTTTAGATAATAGAAAATCAGACATAACAGGAATTTTCCAAAATATTTGGAAATTTAGCAACAAATCTTGGAATCTTTGAGGATAGGGAGAAAACTTAAAGGAATGAAATGCATGCCTTAATAGCTCAGTTCCCCTCCCCGTTTGAAATGGAAGCATAGAAAACACTTCAGAGGGCCAGAGAGATAGTACAGAGGGCAGGGTGCTTGCCTTGCATGTGGTCAACCTTGGTTTGATCTCCAGCACCCCATCTTTTCCTGAGCACTTCCAGAAGTGATCCTTGAGTGTAGAGCCAGGAGTAAGCCCTGGGCAGAACTAGATGTGGCTCAAAAATGGGAAGAAGAAGAACAGCAACAACAACAACCAAAAAAAAAAAAAAACGAAAGAAATTCCAGCACCTGCTACATGGTATGTGTTATGTGACACGTGGCAGCACAAGTAATCTGTGACACGTACAACAGCATGGATGAATCTGGAGAACATGCTCAACCAGTCACAAAAAGACAAGTACTGAGTCACTCCATCCACTCCACTCCACTTCACTAAGTGGAGTGGTAACTGCCAGGGTGGGATGATTGAAGAGTTTTAAGTGGGGGGTGGACTTTAGTTTTCAAGATTGAGAATTCTGGAAATTGATTGCACAACAGTGAGTGTATTTAATACTATTGAACTATAAAGTGGTGTTAAGAAGGGAGATGGGGGGTTAGAAAGAGAGTATAGGAGGCAAGAGATTCTGCCTTGCATGTGGCCAGTCCAGGCTGGATCCCTGGCACCCCATATATCCTTAAAGCACTGCCAGGGGTTACTTCTGAGTACAGGATCAATCCCAAAACAAAAAGACGGGAGAGAGAGCTCAGTGGCAGAGCACTTACTGTCCTTGTGTGTGAGGCCCTGGGTTCAGTCTCTGGCACTGAAAAAAATAAATAAATAAAATAGCAATTTTTTAAGTATATTTTAACACAAAAGTAACAGTCATACCACACACTCAAGTAAAGTTTGTTTGCCGAATATAAAGGCTGGTTTTTCATTGAAAATCAAGGAACTTCTAAAACACCATTTTCTTTATTGTTATTATTAATTACTGTTTAGTTAACATATTACAGTAATGTTAGCACTTATGGTTTTGATGTACAAAATTACTGCAACTCACCACCAAAGTGTCAGGCACCACTATCCTTATGTCACCGCTCGTCTGCCTCTTCCTCCCAACCCATCACCCCACTCCTCGGTAATCTGAGTTCTGTAATCCAATCCAAGGGTTTTCATCATTTAATAGATCCATTCCCTTGTTTGTCTGTATACCACAGATGAATGAGATCATGTAGAATTTCTCCTGCCCCGACTTAGGTCACTCAATATGATACCCTCAACTTCCACCAAATAGCAGCAGCTGCAAGTTCATCTGTTCTGACAGATGCATGGTGTTCCGATTGTTTTTATACGCCACAGCTTCTTTACCTGCCCTTGGGATTTTGAGTTGCTTCCATGTTCTGGCTGTTGTGCTTAGTTAGCGCTGTAGTGAACATAGATGTGCATGCATTTTTTCTAATTATTTTAGGGATAGAAGCCAAGAAGTGGAATTGTTGGCATATATGGAAGCTCTGAGGGTTTTTCTTGGTTTTGCTTTTGAGTCGCATGTGGTGGTGCTTAGGGCTCACTCCTGGTGATGCCAGGGATAGAACCAGGGTTGGCCTCATGCAAAACAAATGTTTTAACAAAACCCTTGCTATAAATTTGACCCAGCAAAGTTTTTAGAGACGTCTCCATACTGTTTTCCATAGAGGATGAATCAGGTGGCTTTCCCAGCAACAGTGAACGAAGGTTTCATCTCTCCCCGCTAGTTTTGGTAGTAGGAGGAGGGTTTGGGGGTCACACCTAGCAGTGTTAAGGGGACCATAAGCACTGCCAAAGATCAACTACAGTCACCTTTTGTGAGACAATCACCTTAATCCCTGCAGCCCTTCTCAGTGCCATACCTAGTAGTGCTTAGGGTCTGCTCCTGGCTCTGCTCAGGGGTCAGTCATAGCAGTGCTCAGGGTACTGGACCATAAGTGGTACCAGATCTCTTCAACCCCTTTCCCAATCCTGTTTGTTTGTTTGTTTGTTTGTGTGGAGGCCCCACCAGGTGTTGCTCAGGGGTTACTCCTGGCTCTGCACTCAGGCTCAGGAAACCGTATAGGATGTTGGGGATCAAACCCAAGTCGGCCACATGCAAGGAAAACATGCTACCCCCTGTACTATTGCTCCACCCCTGAAAAGAGTTTCCTTTTTGTGGTGTCTGTTTTGTTACATTTGCAAGTAGAATCAAGGATGGGTCTACTTTAAGAACATGAAAGATACCACCCAAAACATGAAAAAGATCTGGGATCCGGCATGATGGCTCATGGCCAAAGAAATGCCTTCAGTGACGCTGCATATGTTCAGGGTAATTGTGTCAGCCCCGCTTTCTGGGTGTTACTGGCCAGGAACTGCACATTGAGAAAGAGCTAAGTGGACGGGAGAGAGCTAATTGGATACAGGAGGCAAGAACTGATCTTGTATGTGGCTAATGGCAGTTCAAATCCCCGACACTGCAATTGCATTTGGTTCTTCTGCGCACTTACAGATACGGCACAAAAACTACCTCCCCCACAGAACAGCAAAAGCAAAACAAAGATCTAATTTCCTTTCCTCAGAAAACACAATTAATTGCATGAGAGAACACATGAAAGATGAAGAGGTTAACCTTAGTTAATTGACTAGGATTGGGGATAGGGGTTCTCTATGACTCGAGTTGCTTTCGATGAGAAGCAGTAAGAACTGTTGGGATAAAACTCAAATGCTGATATTTCACTGTATTTTCCTTATTTTGGCCTTAGTTAAAAGCAGAACAGATGAGATTAGAGAGAGAGTACGGCAGGCAAGGGTCTTACTTTGTACACGGCCAGCCTGGGTTTGCTACCCAGCATCCCATATGATCCCCCAAACACAATCAGGAGTAATTCCTGAGTGCAGAGCCAAGAGTAACCTCTGAGAATCACTAGGTGTCTGGCCCAAAAAACAACTGTGTCCCCCCAACCCCCCCCCCAAAAAAAAGCAATAAGGCCTGAGATAAAAGAAAGGGCTGGAGAATAACCTTTGTGTGTGGTAGTCCGTGGTTACCCATCACCTCACATCATTGTGATCCAGAGAAGCTCACGGGGCTGGTATGCATGTTTTGGGGCTGGTATGCATGTTTCGCAGGCTAGACCCGGGCTTAGTCCAGCCGCAAAGTCCCCTGGGCTCTGCCAGGGACAGCCCCTAGGCGTCAGTTGGGAGGAGTCCTGGAGCTAAGAAATCTTGAGTATTGACTTGCCACTTCCCACCTGGAATTAATACTTTTAGAAAATGGTCTTTTTATGTCTTTCTTATCTCCCCCTCACCCCCACCCTAGTTCTATCCTTTGTCAGTGATTTTATTGTTCTTATGACATCTTTTTCCTTTAATAAATTTTTTCTCAGCCAGTAGAAATGGCTCAGCAAGCCGAAGTGATGCTCGGCAAGCAGGAGCCCCAGGGTCAGTTCCCAGCACCACATGGTCTGCCAGGAGCAACGCCCAAGTACCAAGTTGGGAATAGCCTCCAGGTGTAACTCCAAGGCAAACAAAAAAAAACTTTATCTTAATGACCTTGGGCATAGACAGACTAAAATCTGTTTACATTTCTGAAAGTTTGCTTCCTCTTAGTACATGAGAGGGTAACTCTTTGAGGGCAAAACTCCCTCTTTGTCTGTTAGTGGCTCAGAGGAGGGAAGTGTGGGGAGGTAGCTGTCAACTTTCATTACTCTCTTACCTTTACTTCATCATCCTTTATTTTAGTTTCTACTCTACCAAAGTTGGAAGGGACAGATGCATTGTTTGTTCGGTGGTAGAATTCTCCCTGGCTAAAATTTGAAAGTGAGGCCAACAAGGCGTTTCCCAAGTGTTTTCCCAAGGGGTCTTTACATCTACCCCAGCTCCCCCTGAACGACATGGACAGATGGTCTGTTTCAGCTGATAATCTCATTTGTCTTTTCTTTGAAATCCTGATTAAATGCCATCTGGCTCTTCATAAAACTTAGAATTTGGAGCCACGGACATAGTCCAGTGGTAAAACGCATGCCTTGTATGTGGGGTGCTCTAGGTTTCATTTGGGGGATGGCGTAAGAGAGTGGGGGTAGGGCTTGGGACCAATTGCTGTGTCTCCCACCCATTCCATCCCCTCACCCTCAGAGATAATAAAGATTTTTGTTTGTCTGGCCCACCTTATGGTACTCAGGGGTTACTCCCGCACTGCCAAGAATCAAATCCATGTTCATGCATGCAAAGCAAGCTGAGGCCAGAATAACAACACAGTGGGTAGGGCTTTTACCTTGCATGTGGCTGACCTAGGTTTGATCCCCGGCACCTCATATAGTCCCTCTGAGCCCCATCAGGATTGTTCTCTCAGCACAGAGCCAGAAGTCAGCCCTCAGCACCCCCAGTTGTGACCCATCAACAAAAAACTTGCAGTCCAGCCCATTGAGCCAGCCCCCTACCTTAGTCACATCTCTGAGATTGTTTTTGTTTCATGCCCCACCTCCTTCTCAGGGCCTCCTGCTGAGCACTTGTTGTTTGGGGATTGTTCCTAACCATGCTTGGGATCAAACCCTGGCCTTCTGCATACAGTTCATGCTCTCTAACCTATTGAACTGTGTCCCCCAGCCCTAGTCAGGAAGACTTAACCTCAGACCAGGTGGTCTGTTATTTTCAGATGAGAGCTTGAGGGGGCTCTTGTCAAGAGCCCTGTCACTCATCTTCCAAGTTTCAGCTTCTGCCTGAATCCTACTGAGTTTGATCCCTACTAGCCAAAGTAATCTGCCCTTCAAAATATGATTCAGAAATACATATAAACTGGGCTGGACAGATAGTGCAGCAAGGAAGTCACAGTCTTTCCCCCAGCCTGCCAGGAGTGAGCCCTGAGCACCAAAAATGACAAAAGAAAAATAATGTAAACTACTTTTTTGCCCTCTAAGAGTTACCCCCTCAGGTACTAAAAAAAAACAATTGAGTGGCCTTGAGTGCATGCAGGAGGCCTGACTTTGGTCCCTGGCACCACTTGGTCCCCCATGCACTATGCTGGGAATAGCCCCAAGAACCACAGGTATGGCCCCCCAAACAGACTCCATGAAAGTTATTACCTCAAGGCCAAGAGAGAGCTCAGAGGACTGGAGTCTGCTCTCTGTGGGCCTGAGGCCCTGAGTTTCATCTACAGCATTGCATGGCCCTCTGACCATAAGGGATGCAGCCAGTGACCTCAGCACTAGGCGTGGACATTGACTCATCTGGTCTAGGTGACCCAATATTTCCAAGCATTACTGGGAGTACCCACTTTCCTACTAAAAACAAAAAATGCTGCTGCCTCTACTTTGTTAGGAAGAGTGATCACTTGAGACGTTATCTGTAGGACCAGAAAGATAGTATAGGGGGTTTAAGCATTTGCCTTGCACGCGACAAACCCAGGTTGGACCCTCAGCACTGTATACAGTTCCCCTGAATAAGAGCCAGGAATAAGCCTTGAGTACAGCGGGGTATGGCCCAAACAACAACTGTAACAAAATTATATTATGCATAAAACATTTAAGCCCAGGGGTTAAGGCACTCGCCTTGCATGCTTTCAACCCTGGTTCAACCCCTGGCACTATATGATCCCCTGAGCACAAAACCAAGAGTAATCCCTGAGCATAGTCTGGTACGTGTCATTTACCCCCCCACACACACACCCCATAAAAACATACAAGCATTGAAGCCAATTTTACAATAACCACTGGGTATTTGTACTATAATTTAGAACAAGACTGAGACCTTTTTATGTTTTCCATATCTTCTTCAGTAAGTCATAACAGAAAAATTAAAAGTTCTAACATTCAGAAAGGGTTTTGGGTTTGTTTTTTTTTTTTTCTTTCCCCTTCATGATCTGTTTGCTTTCTTGTACTGCTCTAAATAATACAGGTTGAGGGCTGGAAGAAAGGAAGAGTGATCTTAGGAAAGTAGTAAGATCACTCAGAAATTTAAGAGATCTACCTAGTTTTCTAGACCAAAAATTTATTTATAATGTTTTGAATTTTGTAGTTTGCCTAATATATGTGTTTGTCTTTACAGCAAGACAGATCGGCTTGCCAAAGGATCAGAATGTTACCAAAAGAGCCTTAGTTTAAATCCTTTCCTCTGGTCCCCCTTTGAATCATTATGTGAAATAGGTAGGTTTGTAGAGGTGACTGGGGGAGGGTCCCCTAATTCCTCTTCTCCCTCCTCTTAATTTTTTAGAGTAATAAAAACTATCCATAAGACAAATGTTTTTCAAAGATGAAGGGTGGTTAAAATTAGGAGTAAGGATTGAGTTATCGAACTGGGAAGATAGCTCAGTCGGCTTGAGTTTGTAGTAGAATGCGCAAGTTCCAGAGTTCATTCTCTGACTCAAGGCCACCACGATCCCCTGACCACCAGTTGGTATAGCTCTGGTGGCCCTCAGCACTGCTCATCCTGAGCAGCTGGAACCGGCAGGCCGAGCCCACATACGACCAAGCGTACTTTGGAATTCCCTTCCTCCGACACAGAAAGTGGTTAGAATCCTCTGTTTCAGGAATACAGTGACCAGAAATCAGATCATCTGGTCTGAGCCGTATTTGGATTATAGCAGTAACCATAGTAGCTTCCTGGATGAGAAAAGGCATAGATTGAAGCTGAAGCTGGTCTGGACAAGACCAGGACAGGAGGGGGACAGAGCATCCCAGTGGACATGCTCCATGAGACACAAGAGGTCTTTGAGACGCGTTGTGGCGGCCGTTTCCCGGCTGTGCTGACAGCTTTGCTGTGGTACCGACCAGCGTCGCTGGCCGCCTCACCTCGAGCAGAATGCAGAACGAGCACGAGTTGCTTTCTGCTTTTAAAAACAGGAATCTGCATGTTCCTGTAATTTGTCTTTAAAGTCATTGTTCCTGCAGTTCAGTTGGTATCCTAAAATGAGTTTTTTCATTTAGGATAAGCTTAATGGAAGATAGTGGGCATTAGAGAGGTAAATTTCATTAGCTGAAATATTTATTTAGGAAAACTTTAAAACTAGAAAAGGCCTATTTTCACTGATTTATAGATACTTGAATAAAATTAATAATCCTCATTTTCTCAAAAGCAAATATTGTTTTTTTCTTCACAGGTGAAAAGCCAGATCCTGACCAAACATTTAAATTAACATCTTTACAGAACTTTAGCAACTGTCTGCCCAACTCTTGTACAACACTAGTGTCTAATCATAGTTTATCTCACAGGCAACCTGAGACAGTTTTAACAGAAACACCTCAGGACACAATTGTAAGTGTATCAGACTCTAATGTGTAAAGTATTATGGGGGAAAAAGAAGAAGAATGATCAGAACTAAATGCTTCAGAAATGATATGGTAGAAATTTTCTGTTTCAGGAATTAAACAGGCTGAATTTAGAATCTTCCAATTCAAAGTATTCCCTGAATACAGATTCTTCAGTGTCTTACATTGATTCCGCTGTAATTTCACCAGATACTGTCCCTCTTGGAACAGGAACTTCCATATTATCTAAACAGGTTCAAAATAAACCAAAAACTGGTCGAAGCTTATTAGGAGGACCACCTGCTCTTAGTCCATTAACCCCAAGGTAAGACAAACAAAAGACACTTTAAAATATTCTATATTCACAAATGATCTTACCGCAACTTGTATTATTACAGATTAATATAAACAGTAGCTTCTAAGTCATTATAGAAATAAGCACTTAAATTGTCTATAACAGACTTGCTTTGAGAAGAAGAAGTAGGATAGCACCTGTGATAAGAGTTTATTAAGTATTAAATATTGGAGAAATGTTTTAAGCTCTTAAAGATAGCTTAATCAGCCAGCATATACTCGAAAAGGTCCTGTCTTTATGACAGCACCAGTGCACGGCAGCAAGCCTCCGGAAGCACTGCGGGTGCCCATGCATAGAACCCAAGTGACACAGCAGGTCGTTAAAGTGCTGTCGTCCAGAGTACGGAGGAAAGACTGGTACCCATCAATGTGGACCATTTCATCCAGATAATTAGAAATCTGTACGTAAACACACAAACTCAGCCCACTAGCTATATATCCAAAAGTATCCATATGAAAAATTATTTGCTAGGACAGAGGTAAATTGGGTCCCAGAGTGAGGAACAGTAAAAGAGCAAGCCATGAAACTACAATATCCACAGATAGATTCTCTGAGCAGATACATTCATTCTCTAATGTCTGAATCCCATGAGTTCCAAGAGTTTCATCATTTGCTCTGAATAAATCTTCTGAGATCTCTCGTTGCTGCTCAATTCAGTTCCGTAAATGATTTAAATTAAAAAAAATTAGTTATGGTGGGTGGAACAGTCTCATAGCTTATTTTTAATCTGCCCCTCAGATCCTCACTGCCCCCAAGACTGATTTGCCATTCTCTTCCTTTTAGACCTTCTAATTTAAGTATACTGCTGCTTTATATATGCCTTGATGACTTTTTGACACCTTGATTTCAACCTCTTCTCAGTTTTGGGATTTTGCCATTAGAAACCCCAAGTCCTGGAGATGGATCCTATTTACAAAACTACACTAATACAACTTCTGTAATTGACGTGCCATCCACCGGAGCCCCTTCAAAAAAGGTATTTTCCATGTAAGATACAGTTTGGGGTTGATGATAGACAAGTGTAAAATCCACTCTGCTGAGGGTAGTTTCCGAGGAGGACCTAACTTTGTACAGTTGCCTTAAAGTTACTGATTTCAGTGTGGAGGGTCACAGTGGTCATAGCTCCTGATGATAATAGAAGACACGAAGTTGACTGAACCCCATCTAGCAGGCTGGGGCAGGTGCGGTGCCACTTCCAGTGATGCTCAGTGGCTGTCCAGTTTGCTACTAGATCAGCAACAGTGCTTGGAGGTTATGTGCCACGGACCAAACTCAGGGCCTTACAGTTGGTAGGCATGTAGTCTATCTCGAGCTATATCCAGGCCCTAGTTGTGTACTATTGACCATCTAAAATTATTCCTTAGAAGTATATCTATTTCATTATATAGCTAAATAAGCTTCCAGATTTTTCTTTTACTCTAAAACAAACTCAACAGAATCCTGCTTAGATGACCCTTCCCTCTTGGCAAGACTTCTCGCCCCTTTCCCTTTCTTTTATCTCTTAAAATCATTTTAGGGGCCAGAATGGTAGTACAGAGGGTAGGACCCTTGCCTTACATGTGGCTGTCCCTGCTTCTATTCCTGGAACACTATGTGGTCTTCCAGCATCATCATGAGTGATGCCTGAGCACAGAGCCAGGAGTTAGTCCTGAATACTAATAGGTTTAACACCCTCCCACCCCCAAAAAAAATCGGAATTCAGGGGGAAAAAATTCTTAATTTTTTATGGCAGGTTAGGCCATAACCAACTGTGCTCAGGGATCACTCCTTATGATGCTAGGGGACCATTCACAGTGCTGGGGATCGAGCTGGACCCAGCTGCTTACAAGGCAAGTGCCTACCCCTGTAATCTCTCTCTGACCCCTATTTCTATCTATCTTTAACACAACTACCGGAAATCAGGGTTCAGGGAAATAGCACAGGGATGTGCTTCTGATCCTGGTTCCATCCCTGGCACCCCACAAGCCATGTGCTGGTCCTGCCCCAGCGCCGTCAGATATGGTCCTGGTGTCCCCAGTACCACAGGACCCAAGCAACAGGGCTGTGTCCTCTGGGCCCTTGAGTAGTCTAGCCCTGTTGGGAGTGCCCCCTGTTATGCTGGGCAGTGTTTGGGAGGCCCCCTAAAATTGTTTTGATTTAAAAATGGAAAGAGAAATTGTTTTTCTTTGTCCTCGCCATTATGTTTGGTATCTTTTTGGGGGGCCCGCAAAGCAGTGCTCTAGGGGGCCTCAGGACCACTACTGCTGATGTTCAGACCTGTGTCCCAGGGTTCACACTGGTGTCCTAGTACATGACAAAGCATGTGCACCTCACCACTGGGCTGTTTTTGTGACTCCATTTGATTTTCAGTTGCTCAAATATAGCATGAAGGTGCGGGAGTGATAGTCCAGCAGGTAGGGCACTAGCCTTGCATGTGGCCAACCTGGATTCAATCCCCGGCATCCCAAGCACAACTCAGAGTAATGCTTGAGTGGAGGGCCAGAAGTATCCCCTGAGAATCACCGGATGTGGCCCCCAAATAAATAACTAAGGGTGATGTTCCGTGTAACAGTGATGTTAATGGTTTCAGATGAGTCTGTTATGAAATCTTAGACTGATTGTGAAAATATAAATAGGGCAGGATCATGGTGACTTTTATTATCTACAATACAACTTATAATTCACAAACCTTAGACTTTTTGTGTTTTACAGTCTGTTGCCAGAATCGGCCAAACTGGAACAAAGTCTGTCTTCTCCCAGAGTGGAAATAGTCGAGAAGTAACTCCAGTCCTTGTCGCACAGACACAGAGTTCTGGGCCCCAAACAAGGTATCCATCATGCTGTCGGCACCTGTCAGCATTAGCCGTTCCTGCCGTAAAACTTGATTCTTTATAGAGTTCAGTTTAGGGAGGTTTCTGCTCCTGAGGATTCTAAAATGACTAGTACAAATTTTGAATGTGTCAAACTTGATTGGTTTTGGTTTGGGGACAGCCGATGGGAGTGCTGGGATCACTCACGGCGCGTTGTTCAGGGATCACACGGTGCCAGGGATGGAACCAAGCCTCTTGGGAGCTGAGCATGCACACTTAGCCCTTTGGGCCGTTTCTTAGCCCCAAGTTTGAATTAGTTTATTTTTTTGTTTTAGGGACCATACTCTAGTGCCACGGATACTCCTAAATCTCTTCGGGAGATCGTGGGATCAGGATCTGTTTGGAGCTTGCATATATTTGGCCTCTTGGACTGTCCCTGTCCCTCACCCGTACCCCATGCTTTTTTTTTTTTAAGGCAGTGGCCCTTTGAAGCTAATGGAATCCTAATGAGTATTATAGAGTTTCGTCTCTTCTCTGTGTGTGTGTGTGTTTTTTTAAGCTCCTAGTCCCGGGGCTGGAGAGCTGGTTTAAGAACCTCACATGGTCCCCCTAGAGCAGAACCCCCAACCCCACAGAACCAAGCACCTGCCAGGTATGCTCTAAAAACAAAATAAGATAAACTCCTAGCCCTAGCACCCTCTAACTTCTAACCCCATAAGATTTCTATTATTCAAAGAGAAATCACAGCATCTGACTCCAGTTCATCTGTCCTATAAAATGCTACTCCACTTATTAGATAATTCAGTCACATTTTTGTTTTAAAGACACAGTTGTGGGCTGGAGCGATAGCACAGCGGGTAGGGTGTTTGCCTTGCGCGCAGCCAACCCAGGTTTGATTCCCAGCATCCCATATGGCCCCCCCCAAGCACTGCCAGGAGTAATTCCTAAGTGCAGAGCCAGGAGTAACCCCTGTGCATTGCCAGCTATGACCCAGAAAGCAAAAAAAAAAAATAAAGACACAGTTGTTTCTACCACACAAAGATATTATATTATTAAAAGAATGTATGGGTGGGGTGACTGGAGAGAGTTCAGCAGGGAAAGCGCAAAAAAGAATCGGTGGGACTGGGAGCTAGGACAGTGTTTAGGGTAGGTACCTAGCATGCACCCAGCTGGGTCTGGTTCCCCACACGCCATGGTCCTCACAGCATCTCTGGTTACAGACCTGGAGGCACCCCGGGTTCCTGTGCTCGGAGACCACACCTTGCATTAAGTTTTTTGCCCAGTTGATTCAGAATCATTGGTGGAGTCCCCAGATCTATCTAAGAGGTCCTGAATAATTATAATAAATAACAGTAGGGGCTGGAATGATAGTACAGCGGGTAGGGCGTTTGCCTTGCACGCGGCCGACCCAGGTTCGATTGCCAGCATCCCATATCCCCTGAGCACTGCCAGGAGTAATTCCTGAGTGCAGAGCCAGGATTAACCCCTGTGTATCACCAGGTAAAAGGTAAAGGCCCTCCCGTTGTTCGTCGATTTGCTTGAGCGGGCCCAGTAACGTCTCCATTGGAGACTTTGTTGTTACTGTGTCTGGCATATCAAATACGTCACGGGTATCTTGCCAGGCTCTGCCGTGCGGGCGAGATACTCTCGGTAGCTTGCCGGGCTCTCCGAGAGGGGCGGAGGAATCAAACTCGGGTCGGCCATGTTGGCTGGGTCGAACCTGGGTCGGCCGCGTGCAAGGCAACATGTTGGTTGTATCACCAGGTGTAACCCAAAAAAGCAAAAATAAATAAATAACAATAAAGTAGTTTCTAAAAAGACAAGCTCTGGAGACATGAAGCCATTCTGTAAGAGGTCATAACAATGACTATAGATTTGTTCCACATTTGTCCAAATCCATAGAATATACATGAAGAAAAGTGAATTTTGAAATAGACTTTGGACTTGGATTAGATAAGATTATGATGTCTTGTTGTTGGTCAGACTCTAACATGATAATGTGGACCAGTACTATGTACGAGAACAGGGACATATGGGAAGTCTCTGTACCTTCACCCAAGTTTTGCTGTAAACAGATCTCTAAATGAAGTAAAATATGTGTCTGAGTATTGCAAGATTCCTTTTTGCTTTAAATAGAATAAACCCTGCTGCAAATAAAGGCTGCAGATAATTGGCTTAAAAATGTGATTTGTGGGGCTGGAGCAATAGTACTACTACTACTGGAGCAGGGTAGGGTGTTTACCTTGCATACGGCCAACAAGGTTCAATCTCTGGCACCTCATGTGGTTCCCCAAACCCTGCCAGGAGTGAGCCCTGAGTGCAGAGCAAGGAGTAAGCCCTAAGCACTACTGGGTATGACCCAAAACCAAAATAAAATGTGGTTGGGGAGATGGTTCAAAGGACTTTAGAATGCATGCTGCATGTGGGAGGTGTGTTGAATCTCTGGCAGCACATGTTCCCTGAAGCAGCACCAGAGCACTTGTCCAGGAATACGCCCCTGTCAGGAATGACCCCTCAACAGAAAGAAACTAAAAGAAAAATATATTTTGAAGCCTGGGGTATAACTCAGCAGAAGAGATGAGTGCTTACATGTGAGATCCTAGAGTAAATCCTTGGTTCTACCCCGCCATCGCCAATATATAATTCATTTGCCTAGAATTTTTGTGTGCTCAGAGGCTACTCCATTGCATGTTGCTTGGAGCTCCCTCCTAGCAGAGCCAGGAATCTCGACTGGGCCTCCCACAAGCAGAGCATGTGCATTGTGAGTTCTTCCCTAAACCGCTGGCCCAGAATTTTTCTCTAGATTGTTTTAAGTTCCAGTTAGCAAATTCAGATAGATACCATGTGCCCTAATTTTACTACTTTATGCGTGATAAACCAAAGTTTGGTTTTTCAAATTTCTGTTTTTTATAAAGGAACCCCAAAAAAATGAAGAAACTCTTTGGCTTTAGACTACAAGCATAGTGTGTGTTTGAGAACCAAGTTATTAGCAAGTCCTAAACCAAGGTATCTAAATGTCTTGTTTATTTTTTCCAGTACAACACCTCAGGTATTGAGCCCCACTATCACATCACCCCCTAATGCACTGCCTCGAAGAAGCTCACGACTTTTCACTAGTGACAGCTCCACAACCAAGGTGATTTTACAATTCTTCTATGTTCCTTTACTTAGTACTTCCCCCTCTAAAATTTCTGTTGATCATTAATTCCACCTCTAGTAAATTAGGACACTAAATTTGTTTCTTGTTTCATTGTTTGGCTTACTGCCTACAGTGTTTGAAGATTGTCTTGGTCCTTTAGTAAGTATTATATAACATTGCTGAAATGTCAAAGTTATATGGCATAGACTAAGATTTTACCTCCTCCTCCCAAAGTCTCAGTGGAAGCCTATAAAATCCATATAACACCTGCAGTCCTATAAGCCTGCTCCCTGGCCCCAAAGATTGTTCTTACAAAATTTCTTTGGAGAAAAATAGAGATAAATCAAAATTCCATATTTATTTTATAATCTAATGCTTGAGAAAGGATTTTGGGGTATCTTGAATACATGAGTATACTAAATATGGGATTTTCATTTTTTTAATAGGAGAATAGCAAAAAATTAAAAATGAAGTTTCCACCTAAAATCCCAAACAGAAAAACAAAAAGCAAAACTAATAAAGGAGGAATAACTCAACCTAATATAAATGATAGTCTGGAAATTACAAAATTGGATTCTTCAATCATTTCAGAAGGGAAAATCTCTACAATTTCACCTCAAATTCAGGCGTTTAATCTACAGAAAGCAGCAGCAGGTCTGTTTTAAATGTCTAATATCTTCTCTGTATTTCATTGTAAGTAAATTTCTGTAAGTAGATTTGTTTTCTTTTTTTCTAAATGTTAGAATCTGTAATTTTTTTTTTCCATGCATTTACTAGAAAATCAAACTGTTTCATTTTGCTTTTCTTCTTTATTTACTATGTTGTTTTCTCCTAGAAGGTTTGATGAGCCTTCTTCGTGAAATGGGGAAAGGTTATTTAGCTTTGTGTTCATACAACTGCAAAGAAGCTATAAATATCTTAAGCCACCTACCTTCTCACCACTACAATACTGGCTGGGTACTGTGCCAAATTGGAAGGGCCTATTTTGAACTTTCAGAGTACATGCAAGTAAGTAGAAAAATGTTATGTTATAATTTAAATTTTTTTAAATGCAGTGCTTGAGGTTGATATTTATTATGTACTATATTTATATTTATTTTCTCAGTACTTGTAATATACATATTGTTCTAGCTTGTATTAACTGGTGAGTGATTTAAATTCCTTGAGATTAAATGCGGTGATTAAAGAACCCAAGTCATTCGCACATTCTTTTTAAACTTTTATCCTTTTTCTTTTGTTCTGGGCCATACCTGGCTCCTGCATGCAAAGTGTATGCCTTTTAGCCCTTTGGGCTATTTTCTTGGTGCGCCCCCAACCCCACCCTCACCCTTCCTACCCCACTCCCGTATGTTCTTTTTTTTTTCTTTTTCTTTTTTCTCTGCTTTCTTCCTTTTCTTCCTTTCTTTCTTTCACAGTGCCAGGGATCAAACCCAGGGAAAGTTCTTTACAGCTGATCATCCCCAGTCAAACATTCCCTTTTTCTAGGTGGGGGAGAGAGAAGGTATTGTAAGATCCTCCCTGGCAGGCCTGGTGGCTAATCCTGGCTCTGTGCTCAAGAGTGACCCCTTGTGGTGTACTCCCCCACTTACACATTCTAATAAGGACCTTTTATACTTCACTCATTTGAATCTTAAAATATATATATATGTGTGCGTGTGTGTGTGATATTTAAATCAGAGCTTTTTCTGCTGTAAACAGAATTATCAGCATTTACTAGCACTGTAGCACTGTCCTCCCGTTGTTCATCAATTTGCTCAAGCGGGCCCAGTAATGTCTCCATTGCGAGACTTGTTACTGTGTTTGGCATATCGAACACATCACGGGTAGCTTGCCAGACTTTGCCGTGCAGGTGAGCTATTCTCGGTAGCTTGCTGGACTCTCTGAGAGTGGCGGAGGAATCTAACACGGGTCGGCCCGGTCGGCCTTGTGCAAGGCAAATGCCCTACCTGCTGTGCTATCACTCCAGCCCATCAGCATTTGTTATGTTTTATAATTTGAAGATGCTGTGAAGAAATCTATATATAATTCAGGACAACATCTTCTCATTTATCTCATCATAAATTTCTTCATTTTCTTTATGTTTTTTCTTTTATGGTGTGTTGGGGATCAAACCCAGGTCCTCATACATGCAAGGCAAGTACTTTCCCACCAAGACACATTCTTAACTGCTTTATCTATTTCTGTAAAAATAAAGAAAACCAGTCAAATAAAGCTTTAAGGGGCTGAAGAGCACCTTTGTCATGCAGGAGCTCTGGGTTCAGTCCCCAGCACCATATGGCTCCCTAACCGGGGCTGGAAGCAGCCACTGAGCAACACTCCAGGTGTAGCCGGGAAATCAAGAGGGAAAATGAAAAGTTTTGAAAGTTTCTTTGGTTTTGTTTTGGGGCCATATGCAGCAGTGCTTTGGGCTTCCTCCTGGCTCTGTGCTCAGGTATCACTTGTGGCGAGCTCAGGGATCATCTGGGGGTGCCCCTAAATTGAACCTGGGTTGCACATACAGAGCAAGTGCCTTACATACTGTACTATTGCTACTATTGCTATGGCCCCTGAAAGAAAAGTTTTAAACAGAAAGCCAATTCGTTGCCCAAAAAACTCATGCTTAGATTGTGGCACTTCGCTGGTCCAAAAGCAGAAGCTCTAAAGACCTTTGTTTCAGCTTGACTTCGTCGTGGTTTAGGTTTCTGTTGGGGGGCTCCATAAGACTACTCAGGAGTCCACTCCATTTGGTGCTCAGAGGTCGCTCCTGGCAGTGCTTGGAGGACCGTGATCAAACCGGGCTGCCTGCACGCAGAGCCCACGCTTTAGCCTGTTGAGCTATTTTCTGGCCACTTTATAAAGGTAAAGGTAAAGGCCCTCCCGTTGATCGTCGATTTGCTCGAGCGGGCCCAGTAACGTCTCCATTGGAGACTTTGTTGTTACTGTGTCTGGCATATCGAATACTCTCGGTAGCTTGCCGGGCTCTCCGAGAGGGGCGGAGGAATCGAACTCGGGTCGGCCATGTTGGCCGCTTGTAAGGCGAACGCCCTACCCGCTGTGCTATCGGCTGGAGCGATAGCCACTTTATATGTTTTTTTTTTTAATTTTATGCCACAGTCACTTTTCAGTGGCAACAATAGATTTTAAAATATTCAAAAGAGTTTGGGGGGGTTTGTGTTTTTTGGGGGGAAGAGGTTATTTTTGTTTTTTTTGTTTGTTTGTTTGTTTTTGGGCCATACCCCATGGTGCTCAGGTTACTTCTAGCTCTGCACTCAGGAATTACTCCTGCCAACTAAATGGGATGCCAGAGATCAAACCTGGGTAGGCTACATTCAAGGCAAATACCCTACCTACTGTACTATCACTGGCCCCTAAACCAAAAGTTGTTGGTTTTTTGTTTTTGTTTTTGTTTTTGGCTTTTTGGGTGACACCCAGCAATGCACAGGCGGTACTCCTGGCTTTGCACTCAGGAATTAAACCTAGCAGTGCTCAGGGAACTATATGGGATGCTTGGAATCAAACCCACGTCGGCTGCGTGCAAGGCAAATGCCCTCCCCACTATGCTATCACTCCAACCCCAAAAGATTTTTTAAGCAGACCTATATGGGAGCAAGAGGAATAGTCCAACAGGTAGGGTGTTTCTTAAGATAATTGCTAGTTTTGGGCCAGAGAGATAGTATAATGGGTAAGATGCTTGCCCTGGATGTGGCTAACCTCCAGTCCCAGCACTGCATCTGGTCCCTTGGGCCCTATCAAGCACGATCCTTAAGCACAGAACCAGGAGCACTGCCAGGTATGTCCCAAACACTCGGGGGAAGGGGAGGGGTGTTAGTAGTTTTGTAAATGCTATTTTATTTCTGCCATTTCATTTCATTAAGAACAGTCTTAACCATTTCTCATTAAAAAAACATTGATCCCTTATTCTAAACTAAACTTGTCTGTTAGAGTTGTGGACTTCGTCTTAATTTGATAAACAGGGAACTAGTTGGTTTCAAATAATCCAAAGTTTCAAATTTCAAGAGGGAGACAAGTCCAGTTGTGGGGTTTATAACTAAAAGGGAAATATTTGACCATATAATTGAGGTGCCTTAAAGTCAAGAGAGTGTACAAAGGAAGAGGGGGTTGCTGGGTAGGAGTCAGTTCCAAGTGGTACCATATCACATTGGTGGATGTGTTCAACATGCTTTATGATTAGCAACTAGCTGAATGTTGAAATTTTTTTTTTTTTTTTTTTTTTTTTTTTGCTTTTTGGGTCACACCCGGCAATGCTCAGGGATTACTCCTGGCTCATGCACTCAGGAATTGCTCCTGGCAGTGCTTGGGGGACCATATGGGATGCTGGGAATTGAACCTGTGTCAGCCATGTTGGCTGCGTGCAAGGCAAACGCCCTACCTGCTGTGCTATCGCTCCGGCCCCCATGAATGTTGAAAATTTTTACAATTTTAAAAATCAGTACAGAGTAAGTTTTCTGTTGGGCCGGAGAGGTAGCATAGCAGGTAGGGTGCTTGCCTTGCCTGCAGCTGACCAGGGTTCGATCCTGGTACTCCATATACCTATATGAACACCCCCAGGAGTGAGTGATTCCCTGAGTATAGCCAGGTATGGTCAAAAAAAACTAATAATAATACTAAGTTTTATATTACAAAGGTCCACTTTTGTAAGAGTGTTATTCTTTAAAGTCAGTTAAAAAAAACTTAGAAATGTGACTTTTTGAGAATAAAGTCATTGACTTGTTCTTTTGAAATTTTAACTATAGGGGCTGGAAAGGTAGTAAGGCAGGTAGGCGCTTGCGCTGCATGCAGCTGACCCGGTTCCATTCCTGATACCCCATATGGTCCCCCAAGCCCTTTCAGGAGTGATCCCTGAGCACAGAGCCAGGATTAAGCCCTGAGCACCACCAAGTGTGGCCCAAAAACAAAAATTCAAATAAAATGGGTAAGCTGCAGCTCCACGTGTAGGAGCCCCAGGTTTGATCCCTTCATCGCACTTCATGGTGCCCCGGCACTGCCAGGAGTGACCCCTAACTCTGCCATGTGTGGCCCAAAATCCAGTAAAGAAATAAAAATCAGATTTTTGTTTTCAGTTGTAACTAGCTTTCTCTTCTGTCATGTGGTAGAAGCTGACATGTTCAGATTTTGTTTGTTTGGGGGGGCCCCCGGCGAAGGGAGAGTCCCCCGGCTCAGAGCAGTGCTCGGAGAGACACGCGGTGTGGTAGTTGAGCCACGGCTCTGAGGGTGCCAGGCCTGTGCTCTCGCACTCTGTAGCATCTCCCTGGCCCTCAGATTTTATGTCCTTTTTGGGGGTTTGGGGGTTCGCACTGCGCACACTCCCCATGGCTGTCAGAGGACCGTGCGATGCTGGGAATGGAGCCCAGGCTCCCACGTGCACGGCTTGTGTTCTGTCCGTTAAGCTGTCGCTCCACACAGGAGTTATGTTCTTAACCGTGGCTTGTCTATAAGGAGAAGTTTGAATAGGATGGTTTTAGTACTGATTTATCATGCATGGTTGCTCAATTTGGCCTTATGTTATTACTAATTAACTTGAGAACTGTAAACCAAGGCAGCGCGTAGATCCTGTGAGATTTACCCAGTGTTCTGCCTGTACATATATGTCAATTGTATCAACTTGTTTTCCCCTTACTAGTTATTGTATTTCAGGCTGAAAGAATATTTTCAGAGGTTAGGAGGATTGAGAATTACAGAGTCGAAGGCATGGAGATCTACTCTACAACACTTTGGCATCTTCAGAAAGATGTTGCTCTTTCAGTTCTTTCAAAAGACCTAACAGACATGGACAAAAATTCCCCGGAGGTAGGAACCAAAGCTCTTCGCTTTTGATCATCCATACAAAAAGGGGAAGATAAACAGATCATTCAAATGCCATTTTAGTGTTACCTCCACTGAATTTTCCATCTTTGTCTCTATAATAGGAACCCAAAGAAGTCCTAGAATGTACATATTGACAAATTTTAAAAAATCATAAAGCAGATTATTTTCGATAAATATTTGGCAGTGTTAAAATGGCTGCTGTTGGACTTGAGAAGTAGCTCGAAGAGCGAGAGGATAAGCTTTGTGTGTAACCAGGCACCATGTGGTCCCTGTCACTGGGCACAGAGCTGGGAGTGGCGTCCAGACACTACCAGATGTGGCCTCAAAAACAGACAAAATTTAAAAAACGCTGGTGTCCCAAGATGAGAGTTCATAAAGCAGAAATTACATAGATTGAACAAAATGCGCATTTCAAATTTTAAATATTCATTTTATTAGATAAATAAATTCTGAGATCACAGAATTTAAAAATCATAAATTCTCATTATTCCTATTCTCAGTAATGATGTTCCAGAGTCTTCATGAGCATTGAATTAGCAGTGTTGAACCATGGCTCCTAGGAGAAATACACACCACACACATCTTCAGCAGCTGATTAGAAAATGCACAGATTCAAAACTTTGCATATTATCTCAAAACGTTTGTTTCTGTCTTTCTGATCTGAGTCTTGATTTTAGTCATAGGTTTGTTTTTGTTAAAAATAACAATTTTAATTGTGCATGTGGATTTTGTTTCCATTCTTTTTAAGGCCTGGTGTGCTGCAGGAAACTGTTTCAGTTTGCAACGGGAACATGATATTGCAATTAAATTCTTCCAGAGAGCGATCCAGGTTGATCCAAATTATGCTTATGCCTATACTCTACTAGGGCACGAGTTTGTGTTAACGGAAGAATTAGACAAAGCATTGGCTTGTTTTCGAAATGCCATCAGAGTCAACCCTAGACATTATAACGCATGGTAAGTGCTAATGGCATGCTGAAATATTGTCTTGTTGATGGGACTGATTCCCATTAGTTTTTCTTGTTAGTTATCTCTTTATTGTGATTGACTTGGTTACTTAAGAATGGCATGTAGTTCAATGATTTATTTACAAAATGTTCTTTATGTGAAATGTGTCCTTTAGACTCTTAACTCACCAGGAACAGAGGTAGTTGAGAAGGCTGGTATGCATTCTCACTGGGAGGCCCGGGCTCAGCAGACCTGGGCACTTAATGTCTGCCAGCTGTGGCACAAAAACAAACAAATTGACTAATAAAAATAGAGTGGAGAGCCACAGCAGTGGTGCAGTGAGTAGGGTGCTTGCCTTGCAGGTGGCTAACCCGGTTTGATTCCCAGCACCCCACACGGTCCTGCCAGCACTGCCCAGAGTGATTCCTGAGTGCAGAGCCAGTAAGCCCTGAGCACTGCCGGCTGTGGCCCCAAAACAAAACAAATTTTAAAAAATGTTTTTTTCAACTGTTTCTCTAGCAAACACACAAATCAAGTTGTTAACTTGAATTGTTGCTTTTTCTGGGAACACTGAAATGCTGATTAGAACTGAAACTGGATAGGGACATGAGAGAGATCATGTAGAGGTTAAGGCGCTTGCCTTTCAGGTTACTGAGCCAGGTTCAATCCCTGGCACTGTATGGCCCCTTGAACACCGCTGGGAGAAACCTGTGTATATAATGCCAGTAGTGATCCCAGGTACCACTGGAATGGACCATATGTCCACCCTCCACTCCCACCAAAAAATAGGCTGGAAAAATAGTGGAGATACAATTCATGTCTTGTATATAACTAACCGTGGTTCAATCCCTGGCACTTCATATGGTCCCAAGCACCTCCAGTAATGATCCCTGAGCGCAGAGCCAAGAGTAGCCTCTGAGGACCACCTGATATGGCCCAGAAATGTAAACAAAAGGACACTTTATATTTTTAATGATACAGAATCTGGTTAGAATCCTTATTAACCATATAAATTTGGCCAACTTACTGAACTCTAAACTTCTGGATTACTTACTTTATTTGCTTTTTTGAAAACATGTAGCTGGAGCAATAGCACAGCGGTAGGGCGTTTGCCTTGCACGCAGCCAACATGGCCGACCCGAGTTCAATTCTTCCGCCCCTCTCGGAGAGCCCGGCAAGCTACCCGTGATGTATTCGATATGCCAAACACAGTAACAACAAAGTCTCCAATGGAGACGTTACTGGGCCCGCTCGAGCAAATCGATGAACAACGGGAGGACAGTGATACAGTGAAGACATGTATGATAACTATCTGTCTCCTTAGTTTTTCCTAGGATTAAATGAAACCATTTAATAAAGAATTTTGCAAAGTTTTTCACACGCACCTGATTTTAGTAAAAATTAGCTATTAGATCTATGTACCAGGAGGGGCCAGAGAGATAATGCAGTGGGTAGGGTGCTTGCCTTGTACCTTGATGACCTGGGCTTAATCCCTAGTGCCCCATGTGGGTCCCCTGAGTCCACTGGGAGTGATCCCTGAGCACAGAACTAGGAGTAAGCCCTGAGCACTGTGGGAATGTAGCCCACAAAACAAAACAGGAGCTGGTAGGATGTTATCCTAGTACATGGCAACCCAGGTTTGATCCCCTCATCCCACCTGGTCCCCCAAACACCACCAGGAGTCAGTCCTAAGCTCAGAACCAGGAGTCAGTCCTAAGCACTGCTGAGTGTAGTTCCCATACACAGTGTAGCAGAAGTTTGGATTTTTTTTTTCTCTCCATCGCATATTTCATTGACCTGATTGTTGATTTCACTTATAAGTGACTCACATGGGCTGGAGTAGTAGTACAGCAAGTAGGGCATTTGCCTTACATGCAGATGACCAGGGTTCAATCCCTGGTATCTCATATGGTCCTCCAAACACCACCAGAGGTAATTCCCGAGTACAGAGCCAGGAGTAACCCCATATTGCTGGGTGTGACCCAAAGCCAAATAAATAGACTGATTTGTCTAAAATGCTCTGGTGTCTATCATGGGCAGTAGTTTTTGTTTTGCCTCCCCTAAGACCACCAGTAATTTCTACTGATTTGTTAAAACGTTAGATTCCATACATAAGTCTTTTATAAGTTGAATTAAATTTGCAGTCAAAAGTTCATCTCCTGGGGCTGGAGCTATATATGGTACAGTGGGTAGGGCGTTTGCCTTGCACATGGCTGACCCGGGTTCGATCCCCAGCATCCCATATGGTTCCCCGAGCACTGCCAGGAGTAATTCCTGAGTGCAGAGCCAGGAGTAACCCCTGTGCAACACCGGGTGTGACCCCAAAAAGAAAAAAAATGTTTATATCCTTAAAATTATATTGGCTTTATACTTTTCAGGTATGGTTTAGGAATGATTTATTATAAGCAAGAAAAATTCAGCCTTGCTGAAATGCATTTCCAGAAAGCACTTGATATCAACCCTCAAAGTTCAGTTTTACTCTGCCACATTGGAGTAGTAAGTAATCTTTTAAAATCTTTTTGTTAATCTCCCTTTTGCAGTGTTTTTGTTAATTGACTTGATTGCTATGATGAAATTTAGGACTTTCTTATTATCATTTTTAATCTTAAAGTAAGAGCCTGAAATCTCAAGTGTCAATGCTCTGGTAAATCACTTATTTCTCTCAGCTTCTATTTTATGAATTATAGGTATCCTCTTGCCTACTGCCTTTATAGGACTGTTATAAAAATGAGATTGGGGGTAGGGGGCTTGCATTGCACACAGCCAAACCAGGTTCAATCCCATATGGTCCTCCATCACCACCAGTAGTAACTCCTGAGTGCAGAGCCAGGAGTACCCCTGAACATTGCCAGTGTGATCCAAAGAGAGAGAGAGAGAGAGAGAGAGAGAGAGAGAGGAGATTGCAGAGAAAATTAAAAGTCTGATGCTTAGGTCCAGCAACTCAGTGTAGCTGCAGCTCATTGATAAAATGCTTGCCATGCCCGGATGAGGCCTTTGACTCAGACCCAGTCTTCACACAAAACAAAAATATAGTAATTAAGTAATAGATCTATTTAACACAGTATACAGTCCAATTAAATCATACACCTCTATCTTTAAATAGTTTTATTTTATTCTGGCTTGTGAGCAAGTATATGTGTCATTCTCTTTCTTTTGGGGTGAGGGAATGTGTACCTGGTTCTTCACTCTGATTTCACTGGGGTCTGGGAATCTGAAGAGTAAAAGAAGTGTTGTTTTTGCATCTTGTTTAACACCTACTGCAGGGTGTAGATAGGGAATAGCTTCATGGCTTATACTGCTCCATACATACTTCCTTGGAAAGGAGTCTGAGCACATCAACTCACTACAGTGTCTCTGGCAGGGAGCACAACATAGCAGCCCTACAGGTACACACCAGACCTCTGTGTAGGACAGGAAGCAAACACACAACAGCTAAACTTGTATATGCCATTCCCAGGTGAAGTCATGAGACCAGAGCATGTACAGCAGGAGAAAACATGGGAGATCTGACATTGACTGAACTTAGGAATCCAAATCACTTATGAGTGCATATTTATGTCCGTGTTTATGTAATTATAAATTTCTTCCTCATTAAGTCTTTGCCTCTCTGAAGACAACTCCCTTTGATAATCTTCAAGATTATCAAAACTAAACACTGAATTTTTATTTCTTGTAGGTTCAGCATGCACTGAAGAAATCTGAGAAGGCTTTGGATACCCTGAACAAAGCCATCGTCATTGACCCCAAGAACCCTCTATGCAAATTTCACAGAGCCTCAGTTTTATTTGCAAATGAAAAATACAAGGTAAAATAATGATCTTCAACATTTTGTTAAGTTTTACCTCCGTAAGAAAAGTTAACAGGCTAGAGAGTTAGTACAGGGTAAGGCTCTTGCCTTGCACTAACAGCCTTAGTTCAAGTCCCGGACTGTTCATAGTCCCCTGAACAATGTCGGGGGTAGCCAAAAAAAAACAGAAATATGTATGCCTTTTTATTTGGTGCTAGGGATCAAACCCAGGATTTCATGCATGTGAAAAATGTGCTCTCTAGGGCTAGGAGAGAGTGCCAAGGACTGAATTTATCCCTGGCTTCACACCAAGCAGTGCTGGGTATGGCCCTGTTGGCCCCGTTGGCCCCACCTAGAGAATTGGATTTTTTTTTTATTGAGGGGCTACTTCTACCTTTGTGCTCAGGGCTGAGGAGTCACTCCTGGCAGCACTCAGGGGATCAGATACAGTCCCGGGACTGAACCAAACATGGCAAGTACCTAACCCCTCTGCTGTCTCCAACCTCCAGCCAAAGCATTGAACTGGACCAAGTGTGGACAGGAGTAGACAGTGCTCCGGAACCCCGAGCACTGTCAGAGAACCCCTCCTTCCCACACCAAATAATGCTTTGATTTTGTTCGTTTGTTATCCCCATTTCCAAAAGCTGTGAATTCTACTTCCTTTTGTGATTTTATCTCTATGGAATACTCAGAGGAAGCTTAGAAGTGTGGATGTTTGGGGATATGTTCACATAATATCTCTGTGAAGAATCTACATGAAAAAGCAACTTTTCCATCATAGAATTATCTTAGTGATCTCAGCCATTCTCTTAGGATCAAAATAGGTGAAACTGTTGATAGATATGTGTTTATATTATTTAACAAATATTTACTGAATACCTAATACGTGTCTGGCATTAGTAATGTAGTGGTGAGCAAAGCAGTTCCATTTCCTGCCTTTGAAGAGCCTCCCATTACCTCCCACCTCTAAAGGGAGAACAGACATTGATCAAATAACAATCACTATAATGCGTGTTGGATACATAAAGGAAAAGTGTAGTTAGTTGGAAAGAGAGAGCTACCTGAGTTCAGTCCCCAGCACCCTATGGTCCCCAAATCCTGCCAGGAGTGATCCCTGAGTGAAGTGCCAGAAGTAAGCCCTGCACACCTGCTCTTGTAGCCCAGGAACAAAATAAAAAGGAAAAGTGAAAGAAAAGAGGCATAAAGGGACATAAGCAAGGAATAATTATGGAAGACTAAGGCAAGGGGGCACGAGGTGGATTTTCGTTTTTCCCTAATATTTCTCTACTTCAGAAATTTCCTAACTTTATGAATAGTTTTTCTTTATATGTATCTGTGTGTGTGTGTGTGTGTGTGTGTGTGTGTGTGTGTGTGTTTGTCCATGGAGGTTATCTACTTTTTGCTTTCTTTAATAAAGTCCAATGTTAGCTTCAAAAATTATCTCTTTACAGATGAGCATTGAGTGAACTTGCTTTTGCAAGTTGTACAGGATTGTGCATGATTTATTAGTTTCCCATTGCTGTCATAACAAATTACTGTGAATAGGACACATTTATTATCTTTCTCTGTTATGACGGAGAAGCCCAGTATGAGCCTCTGGGGACTACAGCTGTGTCTGCCTGGCTGCCTTCTTTTCTGGAAGCTGTGGTCCCTCCTTTTCTGGGCATCTAGAAGCTACCCACATTCCTTACTTTGTGTAGGGTCACGTATGTAATGATTCTTGCCATGTTTTGCATGTATCCATATAAAAGTATCATAAAACATTTGTGTATATGTATGCTTAGTATATATGTTTTGTTACAAAAGAACCGTTTCTGGTCTGGGGAAAGGCTCCCGTGTGCCGGCTCGCGGTGCGGGTGCGGCCTCATACCGGGCAGCGTGACCCTGACCTACAGCAAACGCCCCGGAGCACAAGTGTCTCCCGGGCGCATCTGCAGTAACAGGTGTGAGCATCCTAGCAGCAGTTTGATGATCATGTATGATACTGCACACAGAAAAAAAAATATTTTTTTTTGTTTAGTTTTGATTTGGGGCTACATCCAGTTGTGCTCAGGACTTAACACTGGCTCTGCGCTCAAGGATCACTCTGAATCAAACCCAGGTCAGCTGTATGCCAGGCAAGCACCGTACCCACTATACTGTAGTCTATCCAGCCCATTATTTTTAGTTATATCTTTATTTTGCAATTCTAATTTTTCTATCTTTCCTGTAATTTTCCTCCAATCCTATAGACAGTTTTACACACTAGAAGTATTGTTTTAGGTTCTTAGTCGTTAATTAAAATGGCAGGTTGGTATTCAAGACTTCATGTTTTTTTGGTGGAAGTCTCTGAGTTGTTTTTACAACTTAGTTTTCAAAGCACTTTCATATACCGTGCAACAGAGTATTCTCTTAGATAATGTGACAGCACAAGAGTTGTCACCTCCTATTGTGTCCCAAGAATGCTCAGTGCACTATAATCCTTTTGTCATAAGTATTTTTCATGTATTTTATTTTCACATTGAGAACTAATGCAGTTAGGATCTCACATTGAGAACTAATGCAATTAAGATTTGTAAGATGTAGGGCTGGAGCAATAGTGCAGCAGGTAGGGCACTTGTCTTGCATGCAGCTGACCTGGGTTCAATTCCCTATATCCTCACATGGTCCCCCGATCCCTGGCACCCCATTTGATCCTTGAGCCTTCTTAGAAAAGACACCTCAGCAGAGAGCCAGGAATAAGCGCTGAACACTGCCATGTGTAGCCCAAAATAAATAAAATAAAGATCTCGTCAATTTAGTTAAGACTATTTGAGAAGAGCTGGAATGATAGTATTCCCGCTAGGGTGCTTATCTTGCACGAAGCCACCTTGCACACAGCCAACCTGGGTTCCACCCCCATCATCCTATATGGCCTAGTGAGTGCTGCCAGGAATAATTCCTCTGTTTGGAACCAAGAGTAACCCCCAAGCATTGCTGGGTGTAGCCCAAAAGCAAACAAGCAAAAGATGATTGAGAAGTCAAATAAAAACACTTGCTCTGGGCCAGGTTCAGCAGGTAGGGCACTTTCCTTGCATGCAGCCAACCCGGTTTGATCCCCAGAACCCCTTATGGTTCTCCAGAGCCCAGCCAGGAATGATCCTTGAGCAACGCTGGGTGTGACCCAAAGATGAAGAATAAATTTTTTTAAAAAATATACTTGCTCAGTAAACATTCTTTAAAATTTTGCTAGTTTTCTGTGCTTTTTTTTTCCAGTCTGCTTTGCAAGAACTTGAAGAATTGAAACAAATTGTACCCAAAGAATCCCTCGTTTACTTCTTAATAGGAAAGGTAAAGATTGGGGGCATGGTCATAAACTGTGACTTTTATAGTCATCAACTTTTGAAGAATAGACTAGAAATTGTACAGCATCTGCCAAGGAGAATCAGCTAGCATGCACTCTGAACTTGGTGCTCTGTGAATAAAGAATGGATTTAGTTTCAGCAGCCAAGAAAATGAAACTATGTCGTCCTAACCTGCCATGAATGTGGGACTTATAGTCAGTGGTCAGTAGTAAGTTCACAGCTGAGATTGTTAGCTCTAAGCCATTTATGGATATTTATTCTTCCCACAAAGGAAGATCAGACTTTCAGCATCAGGCTAGTCGGGGTTTGCAGATAGGTTCCAGGTGGCAGTGGATTATGGCAGCTGGGTACAGTGGACTAATATTGGGAGTTGATAGGGTTTTGTTGAAGATCAGTGTGAATGATCACTAAACAAGCAACTTATAGTTCATTTCTTTCCACGGACATTGTCCTGGTCACTGTGAGATTTGCAAATTCACTACCTAAAAGATAGTTATGAGAATACTATGTGATATATTTACGTGATATATTTAAAAGGACTCAAAAGCAAGTCTTGAGTTTTTCCCTGGGATGAAAATGTATACTCATGAATGGATTTAAAGGACATAAACCAGAAATCTGATTTGAATTATAAATGTCTAGGATAGTATAGTGACGCTCACAACTTAATGAAAAATGTAGTGCTGCTGTTTATTTTTAGGTTTACAAGAAATTAGGTCAAACGCACCTCGCCCTGATGAATTTCTCTTGGGCTATGGATTTAGATCCTAAAGGAGCCAATAATCAGATTAAAGAGGCAATTGATAAGCGCTACCTTCCAGATGATGAGGAGCCAATAACCCAAGAAGAACAGATCAGTGAGTATCCTCCATGTGAAATAGATTGTATCTGGTTACTCAGACCAGTGAGTTAGTTGACACCACCTCACCTCTTGGGTAAGGTGGGACAGATAATGCCTTTATGACAAAGAATAGTACATGAAGGGTTGAGTGTTGGTTTGTTTTTTCCTTTGTAGTCTATTATTTTGTATTTTTGCATATGGATATGTATGTTTGTCTGTCTCTCTTTTTATGTGTGTCAAATAGAATTTTTTAAAAATAGACCAATCTATTGCTGATTATAGCAATGTAGCCAGGGGTTGGGGGTGATAGTTGTGAAGGTGTGTTGAAAAGTCAGTGTTAAGTAATAAATTTGAGAATATTTTAAAGTATTGATAGACCTTTACTAGTAGCTAATCAATCTCTTTGGAAATTCAAAATCCAAATATATGACTAGAGGAAACTTAGCACATGCTGGCCTACGGGAAGATTCAGTCCTGACACTGCACGGTTCCCTGAGCACCATCAGGAAGGACCAGAGTCCAGAGCAGTCCTTGAGCCTCCGCTGTGTGTGTCCCAAAAAAAGAAAGAAAAATAAGCAGAAATAGCCAAATTTAGAAATTGAAGGATCAAGAAAATGTGTGTGTGTGTGTGTGTGTGTGTGTGTGTGTGTGTGTGTGTGATGTATTTGATCCAAAACATTGATTCTTGGGTCAAGGCTCTTGCCTTGAATGGTGGTAACCCCAGTTTGATCCCTGGATCCACACTTGTCCTCTAAGTACTGAAGGAGTGACCCCTGAGCACAGAGCTAGGAGCATGCAGCCCTGGGTGTGTCCCCAGCCCCCACCAAAAAAAAAAAAGAGAATTCTGTGGGCCAGAGAGATAGTACGGGGCCTTGCTTGCGGCTGGTCCCTGTTCAGTCCCCAGCAACTTATATGGTACCCCAAGAACCACTAGGAGTGACTACTGAGCAAAAATAGGTCCTGAGCACTGCCAAGAGTGGCACATAAACCAAATATATGCCTTGAAATAACTAATGTGAAACAAAATAATGTATCAACTTTTTTTTTTGAAGGAGGAGGAGCGTTCCACCCAACTATCTTCAGTATTTATTCTGTTTCTGTGCAAAGGGATCACTCCTAGTGGTGCTTAGTACACTACAGGCAGTGCCAGAGATTAATCCCATGCAAGGCAAGTGCCTTGGCCCCTGTATTAATATTTTTGTAATAAGAAAACAGGAAACTACGGGCTGGAACAGTAGATAACTATGGGCTGAAACAGTAGGAAAGCAGGTAGGGCACTTGCCCTGCACACAAGCTACCTGGGATCAATTCCTGGCACCCCATGGTTTCTGAGTACCATGGGTGTGGCCCCAAAACAAAATAAAATAAAAATGGGGGGCGTGGGGTGGACACAGGCTTAGTGATAAAATAACTCATATATTACATTGTGAAATATTCTAACTAAAGTGATAATTCCTGGCCAGGGAGAGTGCTCAAAAAGCACATGCTTTGCATGCAGAGGCCGAATTCAATCCCCTACACCACATGGTCCCCTGAGCACTGCTGGGTGTGGCCCACAAAAATACATACATGCATGCGCACAAACATACATACAATCATCATTCCTGGGCTGGAGAGAGCTCAGCATGCCGGAGTGCATGCCTGGCAAGCGAGGTCCCATTAGGTTGCTCACTCTACCCGACCCCCATACACTACTGGATACGACCCCAAAACCAAAAAAGATTGTGGTTCCTAAAATCTAGATAATCCTTTATAAAGTTATTGTTTTGGGGGCCCGCAGGCCCGTGTCTGGCAATGTTGGGGCTCACACCCAGCTCTCTGCACATGCACTGTGTATGTCCTACTTTCATCGCCTTCCAGTCCTGCTCTTTTGTAAGAGAAAATTGAGTTGCTGGAGAAATAGTACAACAGGGAAGGCAGCACTTACCTTGCATGGGGTTAATGGACTGCCTGGCTTCCATCCCTGGCACCTGAGCACCACCAGGAGTGACCCCTGAATGCAGAGCCAGGAGTAAACCCTGAGCACAGCTGGGTGTAACCGGTCTCCACCCCATCCCCCACAAGAAGGGAATAAAAGAAAATTATTTATTTAAGTACTATGCAGTTACACTGAGTTTGTTTGTTTTTCAAGGTTTTTTGGGTGGCAGAGTTGGGCCACCCAGAGGTGCTCCAGCTTATTCTTGGCTCTGCTGGGAGTGACCTTGGTGTTACTGGGGTTGGGGATGAGAGAGAAGTTTTTATTGGGGGAGATAAAAGCAAATTCCCAAAAACAGATGGAAGGCTTGGAAGCAGTTGACCATGTCTGCAGTTGTGCTCCGTGGTCGAGAGCACCTGCCTCACCTAATTTGGAATAAACTTCAAACACACTGTACAACAAGGATCTTGAATTGCGCTTTGTTGAAGGATACTAGGGCTTATAAGGGCCTGTAAGATTTTTCTAAATATGCACTTGCATTACTTGCTTTCGTGAACCCCCAGGAAACTTTTGCCAGGCACCTTACTTTGTTGTTCTTTTTTATTTTAAAGTGGGAACAGACGAATCCCAGGAGAGCAGCATGACAGATGCAGACGACACACAGCTTCATGCAGCTGAAAGTGATGAATTTTAACTTCTGGAAATGGAACTTTTTCAACTGGATGTGTGACTAGTGCTGACATGTTTTTGTTCCTCCATACTCTGAGTCTTCTCCTGAGCCAGCAGTGTCATCATCCGTCACTTGTACCATGCGTGTGCCACTTTCACTGGACCCTGACTGCATACAGAACGAAAGGCAGTGCAATATTTAGCTGCTAACCAGACTGGCTCTTTCACCAGTATGAATGACAATTTAGGGGGGTAGGGTGGGGAACTTTCTTTTTTGTTTTTTTCCTTTAATCTCTCTGTTGGAAAGCTATCATGGAAGGAAGAGTTACGTTTTATCTTGAAGGAACCATTAGATGCGGAAAATAGTGATGAGCCAGAATTTTGTGGTTGTTTTTCCAAAAATTTTGTTTTTATTTGGTTCTGATCCTGGTAAACAGAGTGACTGACCTTCATTTCTAGGTTCTTCAAGAATGGTGTTAGCAAGTGCCAGATGGAACAATAAAAGACATTGCCTATAACAAAGTAACTTGATTGCCAAGGAATGTAAATTACCCTAAACTTGCAGTTTCTCACTTAAACAAGTGTAATGGACATATTGGGACTCTTGCATAAGAATCAAATATCCCTCCACACAGTGTACACCTAATCTTGGCAAGAACGCTTTATTGTCTGACCAAGAATTTTAATTTATTCATCTTTCTATGAAGTGTTGATCATTGTTGTCTTGGTATTGCAAACTTTCAAGTTGGTCCTTACCATTTTGCCTCTACTCTTTGACCTCTGTGGGATGACCTTTAACAATCAGAGATGAGAATGGTTACCCACTGATATGCCAAAACAAGGCCCTTAATAACCATTTAAGTTCACCATAAGAATCGAAATGAGAACACTAAAGCAGAGATGGTTTAAGAAATTGTAATAGTGGAAGCCTTAATACAATCACAGTTACACCGTGACCTTGAATCTAGTCTGTGTTCGACAGTATCCCTTTGACTTTTCTAAGTATTCAACCATAGCAGGATACAAGAAAGTGTGATTACCTTTGGATGAGTTATTTCCATTCTTTTAAGCTCTCTGCTTCAAATTATTTTCAGTAGTTTGAGTCACCAATACATGTACTAAGAGTGATTGGGTTTAGTATATTGGAAAATTTTAGCTATCAAAATGAAACATTCTTATGAAGGAGATGGGTTCTCTCCTGAGTTTATAATATAGGTTGCTAACTTGGGGAATGCCACAGTTTTAAAGATCTAATTATGCATAATAAAATGGGAATTATTGGAATTTCATGGTAACAGATTTAAAGTCTTAAATTTGTGTATCTCCTTTATTGTAATGTATTGAAAATTTTAGATACCCTTTAGATGTTAACATTTTATTAAGTGCCAATGTCAGAGTATAAACAAATTATAGTTTCTTATGAATGACAGGCCTGCAGTTATTATTTTGGATAATTTGATGAAGGACAAACTTCTCTACTGGTTACCTGTATTTGTTAGTCAAACTGTGAAAATAACGTGGATTACAGAAGATTTGGGTGAAATAATTAGCCTGTAGACTCAGTAATTTTCTATCATATACTTTTAATCTTCTCATTTGAACATGGATTAGATACCATTATAAATTAATTCAAGTCAGTCTTGGATTAGGTATTGGGTACCAGAGGTATTTAACAAAACTTCCTATCTAAATCTAGGTGCTGCCTAAAGAAGAGAAGGAGGAACGTTTAAGAGTAAATACATTAAAAATTCCCAAAAGTAGGGCTGGGGAGATAGTGTAAGGGGTGGGTGCTTGTCATGCACATGTCCAACCCGGGTTTGATCCCTTGCACCCCATATGGTGCCCCGAGCATGCCAGGTGTAAAACTTTGAGCACTGCTGGGTGTGACCCCAAAAAAACAACAAAAAAACTTTTTAATTCCCAAAGGCTAGCACTTACTCATGACAAATATTTCATTGTCCATTAATTTGTAATATTTAATTTTAGCTTCTTTCACTTTTTTAATTGGTGAATCATAAGCCAGCTATTTAACAATACCAAATATATAATTTCAATAGAAAGTTCAACCTGAACTCTGTGATAATGCCTGGGGGGAACAAACTTAAGCTCAGAAGATGATTTGCTAGTGCATACTTCGTTATGTCTTTGTAGTAGAAACGTATGTCCTGTGCCAGAGGGCATCTTTCTGGCACTGCTTTGAGACCAAGGGGAAGGACAGCTGTGGAAGGCACACCAGGGCAGCGACTGGCAAGGGACAGTCCACTGGCCTCAGCATAGGCTTCCTCATGCCTGTTTTCAAAGTCATTTAGGTATTTGAAGCCTTATTCCACCCTGTAATTGTTTCTGGCCTTTTTTTTTTTTCTTTTTCATGGATTGGGGATCAAACAACCAGAAGATGACATATATATAAATATATTTTTTTTTGTCTGCTTCAAATTTCAGGAGTTCCTTTGAAGGAAAATAAAAATACTAAGAACTTTGGCGTCTTTCTTTTCTCTTTGACCTTTTTCTCGTGTACATGTGCACACAGAAACACACATCCATACTTGTGCTCAGAAGTTGTGTTTTGGCATTGGATGACCCCATCTCCCTTGGAAATGGTTCTTAACTCTGGGATTTTAGAAAGTTGGAAATATTTTTTCAAGATAACAATGGTACTTAACGTAATGAAAGGAGGTTCCTACATTTTCTGTATTTCATTTTTCCCCAAGAACTGCAAGTAACATTTGAACCATGCTGCTGTTGTACCTTAAACAAAAACTCAGTGATAACCAGTATTTAGTCTATTAAAAATGCTCTTTTTGAAGAAACAAGTTTGACAGTCTCTGATTAGTGAGAGTATAGCTATGCATAGGTCTTAACTGAGAAATAGGAGGATGTTTTCTTTGTGAAAACCTGGAAAATTGCACACTACGGGCACGCACACTGTGTGTGTGTGTGTGTGTGTGTGTGTGTGTGTGTGTGTGTGTGTGTGTGTGTGTGTGTGTGTGTGTCTGTGATTTGCAGGCCTTGGGGTGTGTGTGTTCTGTTTGCATTGAAACAATGTAATTTTTGTCTTTTTTTTTTTTTTCCCCACTTTTCCTGACTTAAGAAATTTTCAGTCTTGGGGAGGGAGAGTTTCCTCTGAATGTATTTGCAATTCATTAAAGGGTATGGAAAATCAAAATAAATTACTTTTGAAAGCAGTTTAGAATCAAGTTGTTAAAGCTCTCTCAGAGCTGTGCCATCTGTATTTTTATCTAAAGCACAGCAAAATTAGCAAGAGGTACAAGATTACAGTTTTATGTTCCAAGAAGTTGAGGTAGTGTTAACCTTTTTTTCCCTTACATTCTTCATATGTGAGTATATACATATGTGTGTACATACATATATGTGTGTATATATTAGATTTTTTACTGCATGCATTTTTTAGTATTTTAGAATTTCAAAATGTGTTTTGAGTATTGGTGTTTTTTGTGGATCACTCCCACTAGTGCTTAGGGTTTAGTCCTGGCGCTACACTTAAGGATCACTCCTGGCAGTGCTCGGGAGACCATATAGGGTGCTGGGGATAGAATCTGGGTCTGCCACAAGCAGGACAAGCTCCTTGCCTGCCGTACTATTGCTCTGTCCCTGGAATTTCAAAATATTGTGACCGAATGGTAATATTTTGGTTTTGAGCCGTACTTGGTGGTGCTTAGGACTTATTCTTGGCTCTGCGTTCATGGATCACTCCTGGAGGGTTTGGGCTACCATATGGGGTGACAGGAATCAGACTTGGTTCTTTGCATGCAAGGTAAGTACCTATCTGCTGTACTGTCTCTCCAACCCCAAAAATGGTAATTTATCAAAAATTTGGTGGGGAACCAGAGAGTTGATAGAGCAAGTAAGGCACTTCACACGCGGTGGAACTGCGTTCAAACCTCTCCCCCCAAAAGACTTTTTTCCCAAAAAACTAGAAGCCCCACGTCAGCAGCTACTACTTTGCAAGTGGTTTGTGAAATTTCATTCAAAATGACATCATTTTTTTTAAGTTCCATATTTAGGTCACACCCAGTGATGCTCAGGGGTTACTCCTGGCTCTGCACTCAGAAATTACTCCTGGTAGTGCTTGGGGCACTATATGGGATGCCAGGGATCAAACCCGGGTCAGGCGCATGCATGGCAAAGGCCCTACCCACTGGACTATTGCTTGGGCCCCTGCTTAAATCTCTTAAAGATGAAGATCTGAAAGAAACTAATGTTTATTCTAATTTAATATCTTAGAAAGTGTTGCTAGTTTCAGGTGTTTTGTTTGGTTGGGTGGGTGGTTGTTTTTCAAACCACACCTAGCTCCTGGCGCTCTGTGCTCAGGGTTTACTCCAGGTAGTACTCGAAGGACCACATGTGCCAGGAATAGAAGAAGGGCTGGCCACATGCAAGGCAAGTTACCTTAACGCCTGTACTGTTTCTCCAGCCTCACTGAAGAAAATGTAAGCAACTGAGAAAAATAGCAAAAGTGGAATCCGCTGGGAAAATCAGAGGGAACAACTCAAACTTAATATGAACCTAGGGTCTACCAAAGGTTATCCTTAGCTAAGTTGCTGTGTTTTACGAGATCTTGCTATGTAACCTGTTACTCTAGGTTTTTTTTGTGAATAATGACTACCTTTTCAAACCTTTCAGGTAGGGATTAGTCCATTTAATACAGGAGAAAAAGACAGGTATTTTAAGAGTTGGACAGTTGTCATTTTGTATAATCAAAATCTTGTAGGACTGGAGAGAGAGCACTGTGGGTAAGGTGCTTGCATCCTACATGGCCGCCTGAGTACCACCAGAAGTGATCCCTGAGTGCAGAGCCAGGAGTAAGCCCTGAACATCTCCAGGTGTGGCCCCCCCAAAAAGAAAAGGGGGTGAGGAAAACACCGTATATTTTTGAACTTCTGGACATTTAAGGTTATATCTAGTGTTAACACTTAGGTGTCTTGTGCCATATTGAAATTTTCTGTTGTATAGCGTCCGGCAAGCTACCGAGAGTATCTCGCCCGCACGGCAGAGCCTGGCAAGCTCCCCGTGACGTATTCGATCTGCCAAACACAGTAACAACAAAGTCTCCAATGGAGACGTTACTGGGCCCGCTCGAGCAAATCGATGATCAACGGGAGGGCCTTTACTTTATTTTATAGTGTCATAGAAGTTCTGGTTTTGCAGAGAGGACAGATATTAGCTATTGGTTCAGGTATAAATGTAAAGCCTTTGGTGGGACTTTGGTCAGTATAAAGTAGAATTGGGGCAGAGCCACACCCGACTGTGTTCAGGGTTTATTCCTGACCCTGATCAGGGCTCACTCTTGGTAGGGTTGGGGACCATATGTGGTGCTGGAAATCAAACCTAGGTAGACAAGTGCCCTAGCCACTATATTCTCTCCAGACCTAAAGTAAAAATTTTTCAATTTGCCACTTTCGTTCCATTCTTAAGCTTTTTTTATTACTAATTCCCCTCCTTCCTGGGCATGCCTGTTGTATTCATCACCTTTAAAATAGAATTTTCAGTCTACTTCTAAAAGCTTTAGTTAGTTAAGGACCAGGGAGATAATACAATGGTGTGGCACTTGCTGTGCACACAGCCGACATTGGTTCTCTTTCTGGCACTACATATGTTCCCCCAGCACGCCTGAACTGCCAATGTGACGCCAACTCCTGAAGAATCAAAAACAGCTATAGATTAGGGGGAAATACAAATTCTTGAAAAGGCATGTTTCATTGGAGTTTTGAATAAGAAAGTTTTGAAAGGCAGGCAGGCTGGGGTGGAGGGTGGCTTGAAGGGGTGGGAAGGAAACAGGACGCGTGCTGGAAAATTATGTTGGTGATGGGATGGGTGCTGGAGCATTGGCCGAATGACAATCATGAACAATTTTGTAATGCTCAATCCCACTGTGAGTCAATTAAAAAAAAAATCAGAACAATGAAATAGAAAAATCCTTGTTTAGGGGACAAGGAGATAGTTCAAAGGACAGAAGCTCATGCTTTGTATACGGTGCCTCAGACCCAATCTCCAGCACTGCATGGAGTGCAGTGGAGTGCACTTAGCAGTGGAAGGGTGACAACACCCTCCACCTCCCAAAAAAAGGTGATGAATATTTCCTATCATGGGGGACCAGAGAGGTACAGGGATTAAAGCACTTGACTTAGGGGTTGGAGTGATAGCTCAGCAGCTAGGGCATTTGCCTTGCACGCGGCCAATGCAGGTTCGATTCCCAGCATCCCATATGGTCCCCTGAGCACCGCCAGGGGTAATTCCTGAGTGCAGAGCCAGGAATAACCCCTGTGTATCGCTGGGTGTGACCCAAAAAGCAAAACAACAACAAAAGGCATTTAATGCATCCTTGACCTCAACACCGTATAGTGTCCCCTGAGCCCCTCCAGGTGTGGCCCAAAATCCATCTTGTCATGGAGCCAGAGAGATAGTGCAAGAGGTCAAAGCACTGGCCTTTCATGTGACTACTGCCTAGCATGGCCTAGAGTGACCCCCAAGCCTCTGACTGGGAGT